TGCAAATGCTTTATGAGGAAGAAAACACTTTCAACATTTGAGGGACCCTTACAGATAGGCATGATACATTGTGATGCACTCAATGCAAACGTACAATTTTTCAAGAACTGATCATTAATGTGAACACTTCTACGAAGGAAATTTGATATTTGCTTGCATAATAAGCCGTTGAAAATGCTGAAAAGAAGCATCAGAAATTTGTTCAATGCAGATCATCATTTGCAGTTTGATTAAGATACTTAATACTACATTCAGACTTTGATTGATGTACTATAAAGTGTTTTATATTGCAAACATTAAATAAAACGCACAAGGAGAAGGAGAAGACAGGAAATGATGTGATGAGTTTTTACCTCCCACCCAGTGTTTCCAGAGGTGGTGTCAAATAAGCAGTGAGCTTATTATCATGACACGGCCTTATTATGTATGAAGAGTGGATGCCTGCCGCAGGAAGTAGAGTGCTTGCATGTCATTAGCCCTTTTGTTTCATTGTCAGTCTCAATGAGGAGGACGACGCTTTAGACTAGCCTCTTTAGTTTCTAATATAATAAATACAGACTTACAGGGGCATTTGGAGGAGAGGGAGGGTTTCTTTTTATTTTATTCTATCTTTCAACCTGTACGGCCGGTGTTCTATCAGATAGTGCTACCCATCGAGATGTGCTACCAGGCAGTTATTTGCAAAACATGGAGCATTGTTTGAAAGGGGCTATTCGTCTATCAAGTTATACTTCCTGTGATATCTTAAATAAAGGTTTTATTATAGAGATCTGTATATTCACCTGCTTCTTGTTTACTTACAGTGTGAATATAGCAAACACTTAGGTTTTAAAGCGATTCTGGAGCATCATTTGATAGGAGAGAAATGTCCATCAAGATACCCCTGCCCTGATATCTTAAATCACAGAGTATCAAAACTTGCTCCTGAGTAAGCAGTGGATTTATATAAAGTTGTTTTGTTGTTCACAGGGGATACAGATAGTCTTTTCTATCGTTTCTTGCTGTAACATTTTGTCATCAGAGCAGCACATCTGGACAGAATACGGGAACAATGTGCAAATTCAGGCCTGATTTTTTTGTTGAGCAACTGATTTAGAAGTCCGGCCTGAATTACGGCTCTAGAGAAAGCCCTAAGGCTGTGGAAATCTATGTTGCTTGCTCCAGGCATCAGACCACTTCACAAGTGCAAATTACTTTTGATGCACCAAATTTTAAAGATTGTTTTGTTTTCGGCCTTTACCTTTATTAGAAAAGAGAGTAGATAGAGACAGAATATATGTGGGAAGAGAGATAAGGGGTGACTTTTCTAAAGGAGCAGACATCAGCAGTCAAGCCAGAGGCTTCTTTGTAGAGGACTTAACCTCTTTCTAGGGGCATGAGCTCTGAAAAGGGTGTTTGATTCGAACCCTTTCCTAGTTGATATGAAGTTTTCGAGGGAACTTTTTGACAGTTACTGACCTAAAGGCCTCTAAAGGACCTACGGACATTAAGAGCAATGAAACTCTTAAAGTTAGGGTATGCTTCTAGGATAGCTAGCCAGTGCCTCCACAGGAGCATTAAGCCCTTTTCAGACTGCTTTTTATTTGTGCAAAAGTGTCGTAACTAAGCTCAGCCATCATCCCGTCTTTTTACACTTATAATGATCCTCGCTGGCTCCGCTAAAACTCCCTCCGATGCAGTACAGAGGTGGGATCACTTCTTCCTCCTATTACACCTCTGCGACATTTAGATGGAAGGCTAAACATCACAGGGGCCTAAATATGGTGGCTTGAAGCAGCGGTCTGAACAGGGCTTAAGTTAGCTTGTGTTTTTACAAAAATGCTTCAAAGCCATTCCTCAGTGTGTTAACCTGCCCCATATTTCATATACGTATGATTGTCCGATCAGGGTGATATCTGCTGAATATGTCTGAATTACAGGAGGGGGTTTGGTGCATCAGCTTTAGCATTTAAAACATTAGCTCACACATTTGTCTGGTTCCTAAGCTACCAGGCACATAGTGGAACACATAAAGATGTCTTATTTACAAGCACACCCACACATCCTCCCACTCCACCCCCAAACACACACGCGTGCACATAAAAGATAAAGGATAGCCTTCTTTCAAGTTCAGCTAGATGAGCAAACAAATTCCACTTTGAAATTTTCATTGAATTTTCATTCACTCGCAAGTGATTTAAGAAAAAAACAAACGCATTTTGTTCCCTTTGAGTACATTCCTTAATTAAGGCCACCAACTGATGAATATAAACGATCGTGAAAACAACCTTCATGATATCTAGCATTCAGAAACTGCACAAGACGTCCCTGTTGAAGAGCACCAAACGTTTTGTACCGCAGAAGTGAGTGTTCATCCTTCATTTGGTTCGTCTTCACCAAGTTGCTCTTTTACATTATTTCTTTAATTATCTTACAATCATTTATTTTACCACCAGGGTTTTCTACATTCATTTTGAGAAGACTGACATGTTGGGGTGCAAAGTGGCCTAGTGGGTTAGTTTGCTCCTCATCTAGAGAGGCTACAGTCCACAAAGCGGGCAGCCCAGATTCAAATCCGACCTGTGGATCTTTGTTGAGTGTCACTCCCCACTCTCTCTCTCACTCTCATTTCAGACTCTATCCACTGTCCTGTCTCTCTAATAAAAGCCCAAAAAGCCCCAAAATGTATCTTGAAGCTTTTAAAGAAGCTCTCCATGTCATATAAATAAATATATGATGGGTGCCGCAATCCATGCTGTGCTGCACAGTCCACCTGCTGTTATATAAAGGATCAACCACTCATTTATCTCATAACTTAAGTTGTCCTGGATGGATGAAGCTGAGGGGACCTGTCTCCCCGAGTGTGGATCTAGTCTTAATCAGGAGCTTGTTAGCCCAGGGCCAGTTTAACCCAGGTAGAAGACTAACTGCAGGGAGGCTGTAGTGAGAGCGTCTCCTGGGCTCCTGTTAAAGTTCGAGTGATCATAAGGAGTGGAGCTGTAAGGAGAAGAAGATGACCAACTGATGAATGGATATGACAGAAAAGTCTGCTTTTCAAGAGAAAGATTCTGGTTCAGTTGTAAGAACTCAGCCTCTGGCATAATATCAAACCGATACACAATTTTACAGACAACATTGAGAGATTATGCACGTGTTTCAGAATAAAGAATAGAACTTCCAGCTCTATCAACTGTCCTATCTCTCCATTAAAGGCACAAAAAGCCCCAAAACAAAGAGTACAGAACTGGAACTGCAATCATTCTAGAATCCAAGGAAAATAGTCTTACTTCATAATTGTCCGTGAAACATTAAGAAAGTGAATCTGTTTTGTTTTTTTAGCTGTATTTTACCATCAATATTCCTCTTTGACAGAGGATTCTTGGCTAAGACAGTAACATAAAAAAGAAACATAAAGGAACGAACAACAGACAATGAGAACAAGAACAAATGCAATAAACGATGAATCAGCAGAATTAAAACAACATGACATGGTGAAATAAGTTAATTAATATTTATTCCTGTTCAATAACTAAAGGATGTATGTCATCTTGCAGTATTCCATGCTCATAAAATAATAAAGTTGAATGAAACCCTATAGGCCAAGATGAGGAAGCAAAATCACCACATTAACATTGAACTGTTAAAAGTTAAATGACTAAAGAAAAACAATGATTATGTCATCTAAAACTAAGCACATAACATGTATGTCTGTAGGGAAAAGGTCTGGTATCATGTCATGTAGTTTATTTCCTGAACTTTTATCTCTGCTCCTTCATTCAAACTTTTCACTGGTTGCTGTTTTTGCAGTCTATCTCTTGTCTCTGTCACAGATCTATAAGAGGCTTAATTAGACTTCAGGGAGCCAGCTCTCCTGGGGTGGGGTGAAGGAGCGCAGAGGGTGGGAGGGGTTTAGCACTATACCAGCCGTGCCAATGCTCTACTTTGAGTCAGTGAGTGAGTGAGCAGGAGGAATGTGTGCCACGTGCAGTGGCATCCTCCAGGCAAGATGACTTTGAACTTCCTCCCAGCTGAACCCACAGATCTGTGTCAGGGTCCCATTGTATTATCTAATGAACGCACTTCTCATATCCTCACGGCTTGAAATTAAGAGATTTTTTTTTTAACTCACGCTGATAAGAGGGGCTCTGCTGAGCAACTGATATAAAGCAGCGTCTGTCATTAGTGCTCTGTGAATACAGTGAGTCTGCAAGAGGATGCGGGCCCCTCTAAATGTCACCCTGGGATCAGAATTCAGTAATTTCTTATTCATGGTATTCACGTCCAGTTCTAATCATAATTCATTTATACACATTCATTTATCTGGCTCATATAGTTCCTAATGACTCTCAGGCTGACCGCTCAAATTGTGTTATTAATCGAATAATTAATGTGCAGTACGTTGCCTGAAGGCTCCCAGACCATCACCACTGAAAAGCTAATTGCTGAATGGCAGCAACTTTCCTTGTCTCTATGTTTTTCCAGAGAAATGATATAATTCCAACATTTTGATGATAAAGAATAACCTCATTATTCCTGTTTGAACCTCACATTTAGATTTGAACTGTACTCTAAGCTATGGACAGGTTTTATGTGCCCTCATGTCTGGGAGTTCTCTCACAGAGGAAGCAAAAAGTATCTGACTCCAAATCTCAGCTGCAGATTTCTCTTAACAGACATTAATATTTTATTGTGATGAGCAAGAACATTTTAAGTGTTCAGCTGCAGAGGGCCTTGTTGGAGTGAATGCAGTTAGCAGCTTAAAAATGGAATGTAATCAGGAAGCCTGTAATTCTTTTTGTCTCTGTAGTACTTGAATGGTTCACCATATCAGGTCTACTGAAAACAGTTTTACACTTTCTTCACCTTCAGCAAAAGATATATATATATATATATATATATATATATATATATATATCTTCATGATTGTTTTCAGAAAGCTTTCACAGGATAATTGCAGAATGAGGAGCTGTGACACGGTATTATAGTGAACCATTGTTGATGATGTTGTGGTCCATTTCCAGGTTGTTGATCTACGGTCAGTACTGCAGCCACATGGAGAACGCCCAGAAGACACTGGATGAGCTAATAGCAACACGAGAGGACGTCAAGATTAAAGTAGAGGTGATGTCCTTTAACACGCAACATAAACACATGAGACACTACTGACTTTGTACATTGTTATTCCTTTGATTATACATTCAAGATTAATCAACGAAAACAAGCCTGAATGCAAGGAAAGTAAAACAAGATCTGCACATTAAGAAGCTCCCGAGCAGGATGTGTGCAGATCTTGTTTTTGCTTTCCTTACCTTTCTTTGTTTTTTTGGATCCAGCACCCACTGAGGGATGTGTGTGTCTTTTTTGATTTATCAACCTAAGCCTAAATACCTCAAAACGAGAATAAAAAAGGGGGCATGTGCCTGGAAGCAAAATGTATCTCTGACTCGCTTTACACATTGTATGAACGTCAGGCCTGGGTGATTGGATCGCAAGTGGACAGCTTCACTTACAGGATATAATCTTTAACACAGGAAGATCCCACACTGAGGAGGACAGAGTTGGAGAATGCCTCTTGAAGTAAAAGATGTGATCAACAAGCTAAATAGCGTAGATGATATTAATTAGAACCAAGAGGAGCACAGTTCATGGTAATGCAGTGCTGTGACAGTACAGATGTTTTACAACATGGATCTCTTGCAGAGAAAATCCAGTCAGCAGTGTAGTTCTTATATGTTGACTATACACACAACTTTAAAGGAACATCAGGCTTCATGATCAAAGTTTAGAATCACATGCTCTGAAAGGGTTTAACTTGCTAGTTTGCATTTATGCAGCCTGAAAGTGTTTTATGACCACAAGTGGTCAATGGAGACATAAAAGGAGACACATGTGCTTGAACACTCATACCGTTAGCCTCATAGCATAATTGCCTAAGTCATATTTTGGCCAAATTGTGATATTGGCCTAACTCTACTCTCCTAACGCTGCTGATTCACCGATTCATTGGCTAAGTCCTTAGCCTATCAGAATGCTTTTTACATTCCAAAATCACTTTCTGCCTAAGTCATCTCTTTTGACTTAGGCATTTTTGACGCTACATACAAAGATGGCAGCCCCCATGAAAAGTAGGGCTCAGCTGACCACATGTGAAGCATTAGCTCTTCTCTTTGATTAATCTGGTAAGCTAGCTCATATTTCTTCAACTTTCTATAAAGTAAATGTACTTTCAGTCGATCACTGGAATTGTGAACTGCAGAGGTGTGGACTCGAGTCACATGACTTGGAATGTGTTTTTCCTTCTTTACTGAAAACCTTAAAATATGATTTAAGCAATTATGCTATGAGGCTAACGATACATGGTGCCATCCACTTGTGTGTTCCGATCGCTCAGGAGACATGTTAATACCATGTTTATCTGACCCCTACTTGTAACACTGAGTCAAACTGTTTGGAAAGTCACGAGTCAAGATTCAGTTTTTTTCTAATTTTTATCATGTATCTGTATGTCAATATTTATAGACACATAAATATACCTACAAATCTACTAAGGAATAAAATAAGTGAAAAAATAAATAAAGATATAGATTTAAAAAAAGCAGACAAGAAGACCAAACAGGCAGCACACAGTTACTGTAGCACCACAAAGGTGAAAATTGTGAAATGAGAAAGTGGCTTTATTAATAAAAATAAAACCAGACAAAAACATTTAAAGCCACAGGACAGCGAAACCCCCTTAACCAGCATGTAAAAACTTGTGATGATGCAGTACAGCATGTCACAAATCAGACCCCCCCTCTCCCCCCCTTTTTCCAGAAAACAAAGCAAAGTGATATTCATGTGCCTGCAGGGAAAGCAGCAGTCGTGAAAATCATGGTGATTAGATGCAGTACATTAGTGACATTGGAGCTGAAACCACCAAGACACAAACAACAGAGTAGGTTAATACTTTCATTCAACATAAAAAGCAGAAATACTAACATTTGCTGGGTCATGCTTCTCAGATGTGATATTCTGATTGGTGATAATACATATTTTTAGGAATTCATGAATTCATGTGAAAAAAATGTGTTTAAGAATATTTGACAGAACATGCTATTAACAGTTATAATAATAATAAATCATTTTAACATGTTAGCTACCTTCTAAAATGAAATTATACAAAATAATACAGAATGTGACATCCTTCATGACATCAGTGATGGTGGAAAAAGGATGAATATATTCATAAATTGTTTTCAATTTTTGGAGACTTATTTAGATTAAATTAGAAAGGCAAAAAATGGGAATTACAAATATGGCCTCAGAATTCTAATGATTCTAAAATTTCTGTCGAAACAAACATGACTCAGACATCTATTTAAAGTACGTTCACTGGAATTTTGAGAGAGGAGAGGATTTTAAATTACTGTCTTCAAAACATTTAGTTTGGAAGCTCGTTGTTTATCTTGATGTCTGAGTTAAATCTTAGTGAAGTACATTATGAAACACATTATGACATTATTTTTACTGACTGATCGTCTCGGTCATTATTCCATGGACGTGTTGGTCTGGATTCTAGATCAGAAGCTAACAAACTTCTGTAATGATGGAATTAATGACTACAGCGATGGCTCTCAGAGTTGTTGATAAAATAGTGAGATCAATAAGGATGTTGACAATGTGATGTTCTCTTTGAAAAGAGACGCTCTCTGTGAGCAGGTTAAACAGCTTCCTGCTATTTTCCAACACCAGAAGAGGGATAAGCAGTTCCTGTTACTCAACAGTTCGAGAAAAGTGAATAAAGAAATGCACACTGCACACACCATGTGAGGGACCCTTACAGCATGAATCTTACAAAAGGCGGTTTTCTTCGTCTATAGGAATATTCATTAGTCAGAAGAATTTCCTAGTCAGCGTTCAGCATTACTGCGTCACAAACGACTGGCACCACCAGAGCTGTTGTGTCCCCAATGAATAAAACCGGCCTTGTTGTCGCTAATGGAATGCACCATGAATGAGTGGAAGCAGTTATGGCAGTGCAACAAAACACAATGAATTATTAAACAATGAATGAAGGCTTTTTGGGGGGCAGAAAAATGTGCAATGCAGCGTTATGCAATGTGTAATAACCTCCCTGCTGCTCGTGTCATTGTTTTGCAGGAATGTACTATGAAAGTGCAGGAAGGGAAGTTCAAGCTGCAGGATCTGCTGGTGGTTCCCATGCAGCGGGTGCTGAAGTATCACCTACTACTGAAGGTAGGAGACATCTCGACACAGCAGAAACTACAATGCAATCCATTTTTAATTGCAACATTGACAAGAGGGAAAAAGCTAAAACATCAAAGCAAAGCACTTTTTATATTTATATCCAAATCATTTAGTTTCAGAATACACTGTCCATCTTCGCCTGCATCACAGCTCTTTGAATTTCTCTCAGACAGATCTTAAAGAAAGGAAGTCTTCATGACTTTGATGACTGAAGCAGATGGAATGGAAATGGCTTTTTCACACTTTACTTTCCACCTTTTAACTATCAAACACTCATCCCCCCCCCCTTTCAAGTAAGGCTTGAAAGAAGGCTCTGAAACTGTGTAGCTTGCCTTTCTCCTCGAGGAAGCTGTAGTCAGCTTGAATTCACAGCATGTACAGTACTATGCATCTGAGCAGTGGCCCAGTTTCACTGTGACAAAAAAAGTTTGTCGGATAAATTCTTGTTAGCGTCATTTCCTCGAAACCTTTTACTAAAATGTATGTTGCATGATAATGGTGCATCAACAATCATCAATTTGCATCAAAGTTTTTATGAACTATCAGTGTTTCCCACACATAGACGATACCTGGGCTGGTATATTTCCCACCTGTTTTTATTTAATTTTTCATTTACTCATAAAATTTCACTCTCTTGTGCACGATCTATCTCTCCCCCCGCCCACTCAGCTCCATTAATGTACAGCTGCTTGCTGCTGATGCTGGACTCCTATAAATAAAGGAATATCAAGTGTAACTTTTCAAAACGGGAGGCGTAGGCTACTCGATGTATTTGGGTCTGTGCGCGTGCGTGGATAAATTGAGCAACTCTTGCAAAAAACTTCATTCATTTAGGGGGCAAAACAAATTTGATATAAATACAAACCTAATGTTAAATAAACCCTAAGATAAGAGAAAAAATAAAGTATGTTGAATTACCTGGTTAAATAAAGGTTAAATTAATATAAATACACAAGTGATGATTTTCTACCTATTCAAAAACAAGCATTGTTCAAACACGTTTTAAGGTCTCTTATAGACTTCCCTCTAGGTTTTTCACATTAGGGCTACACATATGAAACAATAGACCTTTACTATTTATGAGCGTAGAGGCCATTTAACAAGTGCTTTTAGCCTTGCAATACTTCAAGGTGAATATTTCCTTTCCAGAACATCATGTTATTCCTTTTTGTTAGATTCATTCATTTCTGTGTTTATTCAGTCTGAACCTTAACAACTACCCTGTGTTAGGCTCTGTCTGTTACTGAGGTTTGACTGATGATAGTTTTCCTCTGGTTTTGCCCTTTTTCTTTTATTGTTTCACTGACTTTTAGTCTTTCCGAAGTGTGTTTGTTGTTGTTGTTTTCGTGGCCAGTCCATCAAATATTTGCGCAGCGACTCTTTGCCCTTTTGGAAACTGTCAAATGCACTTTATTACTTTAAAAAGTCACCTCGGTAACACACACTGCTACCTGACATTTAGAACTATACTGCTTAGGCTTTGTGTTTTTTCCCCTCTGTGCTTGTGCTTTGGTTCAGACTTGGTTTTCATAAATTGTTTCCTTCAATGTTGTTCTGTCCTCTGATTCAAATTCTGCATATTTGTTTGTCAAAATAGCCACAAAAGATAAGCCAATAAAAGGCAAGGTATTCTGGGGCGCCGTGTAGCCTAGTGGTCATTTTGCACGCACCCCATGACCAGAGGCTATGGTCTTGGTCTTGGTTCCTCTGCTGCTTCATGTCATCCCCCACTTTCTCCTTACAACATTTCCTGTCTCTCATTGGCTGTTTAATCCAAAAAAAGGCCCACAAATGTAAAAAAAAAAAAATTAAACGAGGAAAGGCATTCTGCCAGTGTTTCTCTGTAAAACAATTACACCAGTGTCCTTTAAGAACAAGTTTCCCCCTCAGGGATAATAAATTTAAAGTTGAAATTATAAATCAGTAATCATTATGAGGACATGAAAATCATTGGCATCATTTCAGCTTCTGTATTGTGTGTGTGCATATTCTGAGCACACACAATTTATATAGCTGATTTTCTTTTTTCTTTTTTTTTAAATAATTGGAAAGCAAATGAAGCTGCTGCCAACTATAATCAGTAACTCCACACATGCACGGATTCTGCTTGTTCTTATATGCAAATGTATAACTGCAAAATATATCTGACCTCTTATTTTCCTGCCAACATTTCTCCCTGAAGCTCTCTTCCTGGTGGTCATGTATAAAACACGCCTGCCACTATAATAATCCCAGTGATTACTTTTGCATGTTAATGAGTGCTGAGCATTTATCAGAGTATATGATGGTGGTGGGTAATGGACAGGGGGGGGGGGTTTGGAGGCGGGTGTTTACGTCAGGTGATTGTGGGACTATGCAGAGAGTGCTGCTTCTTGTGTATTAGTTTGAATGGAGCCACTGCAGGAGTCTCAGCAAGGCACTGAGGTGAAATCAACCACGCGCTAATCAGATTAAACGCACCCCATTTCACAGCTTCCCACAGCTCTGTAGTAAAACTCAGCTGTGTGCTGTGGCTGCAGGGCATGTCAGACTGACAAGTCTTGTTTGGGAGTGTGTGTGTCCAGTCGTGCCTAAGGACACATCTTCAGCTGATTTTTGTATAGATTTCATCAAAGCAGTGTTGTACAATTTGGTCATGGGCTGAATACTCGTCACTCGTCATCTTTTATGTATCAGAGCTGCACTCTAAATAAAGTCACCGACATCATCTCATAAGTCATTCTCCTCAAGAAGGGTTTTGAATGTTTGATGAACTCCCAGTGTTTTTTAGGAAGCCAATGTGATCTTGGTCTTTCATCTAAAGTTGGGTGAATGGGTTCTTACAGCAGCATGTTGTACCCCCCTGCTCAAATGCTAAAAATGGTGCTGGTGGTGCTGCTGCTGGTGGTGGTGGTGCTGCTGCTGGTGACGCTGTTAGTTCAGGATGCTTGCACTGTAGGGGTGGTAAAGTGGGGGTCATATCAACAGAGTCACACCCTCTTATGAAAGTTAGTTTGAATTGGAGACGCTACATTCTGTTGTCATACAGCAACAGATTCAGCATGTGTTAACACAGCTGACTTAGAGATAAAACATTTAGAACAAATTAGGAAGCATAGATGCACAGCCTGCTTTGTCAAGATGTCCTGTGTAAGCTAAATGTGTCATTCTGTGGCGACACTAAAACTCTTAATTTATTATTTATCTCAATGACAGTTGGTTTCTTCTGTTTGCTGGTGCATGTCCAGATGTTTTTGACTGGAGTGGCCCAACTGGGGCACTAACTTATACAGGGGTGGCCTGGAGTGGGATGTGTCAACAAAGTCAAAGAAATAACTGTTTACCTTTTCTGACCTCACCAATCATTTGTACTTCATAACACAAGATAATGGCAACATTAGCTTAATTTTTGAATGGCACAAAAATAAGATAATTAAATAGATGTGCAAAGTTTTCAGTTGCAATTAAAAGCAAAGGAAATGATGCTACTTTGGTATGTAAAAAAAATACGAGCAGCCTTTGCCAAAAAAAAGACGTTATAGTTGGTTTTAACATAAGTCCCGACTCTGACAGGGCAAATAGCCAATCAGTTCAGTATTTTTGGGGTGGCAGCTGGGGTGGCCAATCACATTTCTTGGTTGGCCCATGCCACCCCTCTGGAAACGTCCCCGTTTTTTTGCCTTTATTTTTGTCATAGCATTGTTTTGGTACACATCATTGTGTCTTGTAAGAGGTAGTAGGTTTGTCTTCGTTGTGTAACTGAAGGATGGAGCATTGTTACAGTTATCTTTCAAAGGCCATACTACATGAACTGCCTTCTTATGTATGTTCTCTGCTGATTCCTGAAGCTGTCAGCAGCTGTAGTCTTAAATCTGATGGACTCATGATGTATGTCATTCCTTGAACTAAGTGCTTTTATTGTGTTTGCTCCATCATCTTGGTCTTTGCCATGGAGTCACCTTGAACTAGAGCCTTTAGTTCTCTTGGAAGATTTAAAAGCAGGATAAAGGATCATTGGATGACTGTATGCAAATGTTTCTCTGTTTAACGCTTCTGATTTGTTGATTTATATAATATTTGTTTAGAGTCTGTCTTGTTCTTCGTCTGAAACTTTAATCCTGCTGTCTTGGCCAAGATTCTCTTGTAATAGAGATCTTGTATCTCAATGAGCGTTTTAAAAAGTACAGCAATTTGATTATGTGTCACTTTGGATTTCCAAAGCACAGCTTATTGGATTTGCCAACTGGTAGGACAGCTGGCACCATTTCATTTTTATTTAAATAAACTATAAAGAATTTCATGACACCATTTTTCGAAGTTAATTTATTTGTTGTGTTCGGCCATATTCTTTATCCACTTTATAAATCAGCCCAATGTGCCAGAGGGAGAGGCAAGAGGCAGAACCAAAACAATGTAACATATTTGTTATTGATCGCCTACATGGAGGACAGAGTGGTATGAACATGAAATCATGTTTACCATTATCTGTTGCCATGAAAAAGAGTTTTATCTCGGGGGATAGTTAGCACAGTCTCCGGCTTCCCCTTGTCTTTAATTGTTTATGTGTGTTGCTGTTGGTGGCTTCATCACTGTCACATCCACAGTAAAGAGCAGCTATACATGTCAAAACAGAGCCCATTAGTTTGTTGGTATGATATGTTTCAATGAAGTGTAATGTATGTTTTCACTATGCTTCTTGCAGGAACTTCTGAGTCACTCAACTGACCGACCAGAGAGGCAACAACTAAAGGAGTCTCTGGAGGCCATGCAGGTCTGTGTAACACATAAGCATGAATGTGGGTTCATAAGTGGGCTTCAAAGAATATTGCATAACTACTACCACAGTGCTCAAAGCCATAGCTGTATAAGTAGTTTCTAACAGCGACTGTGCCTCTAAGGAGTGTAAACCTAGCATGATATGACAGATGTCAGAAAGATTTTGAGTTGAAGGCTGTAAGAACGTTTGCGTTTCTCTCACAGGATCTGGCCATGTACATCAACGAAGTCAAGAGGGACAACGAGACACTGAAGAAAATCAGTGAATTCCAAAGTTCAATAGAGAATCTTGTAAGTACTGTGGACTCCTCTGTCATATCCTTTTCTTATCAAGAGGAGACGTTTTCCAACAGTTTGACTTGAAGCATGTTTAAAGGCGTTGAAACTCAACTCAACTGAATCGGCTTCTATTGATTGATGATGGAATCGTACTTGAACACGCTTTTATGTGCATTAGTTGGTACAAAACTGACAATTTCACATGATACTTTTAGACCTTGTTGACTGGTTGGTAAGGAGCTGGAAAAATGCGATCATGAGCGTAATCGGTAACACTTTAAATAAAGGTCATAATGTTCACCATTAACTCGCAAATTAGCATGCTAATTAGTAGCATACTGGCTGCTTATTAGTCATTATTAAGCGCTTATTGGTACCTTCTACATTCTACATGACCCTAGTCTATAGCTAAAAGGTCGTTAACTAAGAGTTCATTACTGCTTATTGATAGTAAGTTAGGAAGTTGTTGAATTATGTCCTTAATATGCTTTGCTTAGTATTTCTCTTATAAAGTAGAAGTTAGCAAAAGCTATTAAGATTATTCATGTATAACACTTTCCTAACTCACTATCAATAAGCAAATAAAATGAGGGGGTATTGAGGGCAAACTATTAGTTAATGGCCTTTAAACTATAGACTATGGTCATGAAGAGTAAAGTCCTAATAAGCACTTAATAATGAGAAATAAGAAGCAGGTACGCTTAACTAGCATGCTAATTAGCAACAACTTAATGGTGAAAATTGTGACCTTTATTTTCGAAAAAAGTGTATTCTCATAAAAACACACACTCTCACTCATTGTTTCTTTGTATCTTAATCTTATTTCCTTCTAAGATTTATTTTGCTTTGGCTTTGGCCGCTAGGCCATCTTTTTTTGAGGAATTTGTTGTAATATTAGGGGGAAAAAAGGCTTATTTGCTTCTTTGACAGTGATAACATGGGACTGCTGAACATGAAGCTACAGCTCGCAGCTACTGAGTTTTTTGGCAGAGAGACTAGAAGCAGCTAGCCTTGTTCTTTCAACCAAAGCTAGAATATCTAGAGAACCTGTCAACATCTCTGAAGCTCACAAATAACTGCAATGTTGCTGCAATTGCAATACTCAACCCACTGCTTTATGAGATTGATGTCAGAAACCACATTCTTTTAATGCTTCCAACTTTGTCTTTTTGAATTTGGAATCATACGTCCCCATTGGTAATTCAATTTTCCAGCCTCTATCGTCATTTATAATGCAAGACTTGACATCTTATCTAGAAGTCAGTTTTCTTTGTTTTTAGGAACTAATAATAATAATAATAATAATAACTTTATTTATATAGCACCTTTTAAAAACACAGGTTTACAAAGTGCTTTGACAAACAGCAAGAACAAAGCAAACTAAACCAAACACAGAAAAACATTAACAACAGTAAGAATATAACAGATGCAAAATACCAAAAATAATTAAATACAATTCAACAGAAAAGAACCCAAAATGCACGATACACAACCAGACATATATAACCCAACCATCATAAGAACCATCATAAGAACCCAGGAACACAAGAACCCAACAGTAATACACCACGACCAATGCAATCAACAGGCTGGGATTTAAAGTTTGTCAAGGTGATTAGTCACTAAGTATCACAGAGCTGTAACCCATTGTTGAATATGTCAACTTTTGGTTCCTCTGCTCAAGAAATGGCATCATTTTGTTTCCACCTGTCATGATCCACTGACGGTGAAATGTCCTCAATACATTATGTTGCAGAACATGAACAAGAGAATTTATGTACAGTCTAGACTCAAGTTTATTTCCCATATTTGTCTTCACAACGCTCTCCTGGGTTTGGTTTCTTTGACTTTCAGTCACTTCTTTCTTTTTTCACATCGACTCCTACTCAGCTGCTCTAGTTGGTTCCCATGGTTTGCTATTAATGGCCAATGATTAATTTACATATATAATGTGTACATGGCAACATATGGACTAAACAACTTCTCAAAGTTCTCAAGTTTTATCCTTCTGTATATCTGTATGGATTCTCTCTGACATTCAAGGGTAGCTGAATTATGAATGGTTCCTCATTAAATGTAGACGTTGTAGTTGACAGTGAGTTGTCATTCTGTGTGTGATTGTGACCTAAGCAGCAGGTGAAACTGGAGGAGTACGGGAGGCCAAAGATAGATGGAGAACTGAAGGTGTGCTCCATCGTCAACCGAACGAAACAGGATCGGTGAGTTGAACTGTACAGAAAGTCCACCCGGAAATAAATGAGTCCAAATTAAGACGTGCTGTCACTGCAAACATTAACAATGAATATTTATGTTTGGTTGTCCATGTCTTCAGGTATATATTCCTGTTCGATAAAGTGGTCATAGTCTGCAAGAGGAAAGGCTACAGCTATGAGCTCAAAGAGATTATTGAACTGCAGTCATATAAAATGTCAGACGACCCAATGAACAACAGAGACATGAAAAAGGTAAGAATGGTACTCGATGTAAAAATGGAACCAGATCATTTCTTACACGCTGAGATCTTTGTAAAGGCAGCCTTGCTCGTGCAGGTGATGAAACCTCCTGTGTAATCATTACAAATGTTGCCCTTGAGCTGAAGCAGCGTGTTGATGGTAATTTCAGATATGGAATTTATGAGTAATGCATTGAAGTGTTAGATCTGCATTGTGCCTGTCCGTGCTTGAACGACCATGTAAATGAAATGAAGGTCATTTAGAATTCATGAAATCGTCCTGCAGAGCATCACGCCGACAGTCTAACATGGCTTTTTTTTTTTTTTTGAGTTTGAATCTGCATGTGTCTCTCCATGTTTGCATGTGTAACTGGGTCTTTCTCTGGTGTCTTTCTTTTTGCATGCTTACCAGTCAAGCGGAAAAATGGTAAGCTCAACTGACCCTTTTTTATTTCTCTCATCTTCTCATAGTGGCCTATTTTTGGCAATGGTGTTGTTGGGTGTGATTGTTGGCACCAACCGGCTCTTTGACTTGCCCTCCAGCTTTTAGTCAGATTCATCGCTAAAGCATGTGGAGCGTCTGTTAGTTCTAAATTATAATGCGATTGTAATTGCAATATGCTTTTGTACATATTTATTCAGGTATCACAAGCTTCTGTGCCTGTCTCTGTCATCGCCATCCATATATATCTCTGCCATCTGTTCCTCACTCACTTTTTCTCTGCAGTGGTCATATGGTTTTTACCTGATCCACCTGCAAGGGAAGCAGGGCTTCCAGTTCTTTTGTAAAACTGAGGAGACAAAGAGGAAGTGGATGGAGCAGTTTGACATGGCCATGTGAGTATCGTTACATGATGGAGTCAAAATCAGCTATGCGAATATGTGTAATTTTCAACTTTGATTCAGTGTCTATTTTGCTTGTCCAGTGAATTTAACACCCAACAAACAATCAGTGTCCGTCATGTTTTGTTCTTTACGTCACTAGGTCCAACATCAAGCCAGAGAGAGCCACAGCCAATCAGCATAACTTCCAAATGCACACATTTGATAAGAACACCAACTGTCGAGCCTGCAAGATGCTCCTCAGGTAACGACCTGGATAACTCCACTGCTGCATCACAGCACGTTCCTGTTCTACAATGAATAATAAATGCTCCCTCCTCCAGACTTTCCAGGGAATATGAAATATCCAACAATGTTCAGTTTCAAAACACTTTATGTTTTTTATATGAGCAATCTTTATTTAAAAAGAAAAGTCCTGCACTGAAATATTTTTCAATAGCAGAAATGTCTGTGTTTTGGGAACAGGCTTTAGAAGAAGATAGTTAGCTTTCTCATGCCTGTGGTGTTACCATAGACACCTGCTCACTTAGCTTAGCACAGGAAAGCAGGGGGAGGAAACAGCTCAGCTTGGTGCAAAGGGAAACCCAGATTTGAGGTTAGAAATTAAATAAAACACAGCACCTCTGCAGATGAAAGCTGTATGGTTACAGTACATTAATTTACGAATAAATAACAGCTACACGGTTGTCAGTCTTTTTAAGTAATGTTTGCAGTTCATACTGTATCACTTCTGCTCTAGGAGAAGTGCTTAAAAGACTTTCCACAATCTCATTCATAGGGATGTCCCCAAATGTCAGCTTTCTTTCCCAATACTGCACCCTGCAGGTAGAAAGTATTTACAACAACATTAGTTACATTTAAGCCAAAAGACGAACCATTAACTGTTTATCACAAGTTCACAAGTTTTTCTCTTCAAATTAATAATAACAGATTAACTGCACACACACACACACGTGTATATATATATATATATTATTAAAAAAAGCCATGTCAATATTTACATGTCAATATTTACATATTGACATGTGAATTGCAGTGCAGATCAAATATAAAGCAACAGAAATTAGAAAAATTGTACCTAAAATGTGCACCTGTGTTTCTTTCACAGCCAACGCAACATAGCAACAGTAATATAGTACAGGACATTTTGAATAGTTGTAGTATTTAATGTTGCTAGTAACTAAGATCAAACAGAGCTTAAGCTCTTAACTAAAGAGAAATTCAGCCACATTTGGACAGCAACAGACAAACAAACAGACTTAAATCACAGAGGGAACTTGCTTTTTGGCTAACGTAGCCCCTCATTAGTGTTAAAGTCATCTTTGGAGAATGTCCCACTGAGTGTGACTGAGACTCTGATGTTATTTTTAAACATTCCCATCCATCCACTCTGTCCCTGAGCAAACCTCCTCCTGTGTGAGAGTGCTGCTCCACTTCAGCAGGGTACAACCCGTGTCACTGAATCACCACTTTCACCTCTATTACAGTCAGCGCACTAAACTCCACTCTGTGTATTGACCCACAAATTTCATGGCCTGGCTGACCTAAATTCACTGAGCCACTGGAAGCAGGGACCAGCGTTAGCACTCCCTGCTAGATGCTAATTACTGCTGCAGCCCCAGCAGATCCCATCGTGATTTATGGCACTCACTATTCGACATGGCAGTGTGCAATGCATGCAGTGTTACTGTATCTGTAACAAATACAGTGCTGCAGTGCACAGCCTTTAATGGAGCAGGTTGATTCTGTGATTTTAAAGGATCGACGAGTGGAAATGATGGATCATGTGTGTGCACAGTTGCAGGCTTATTGTAACAAACTGCAGCTCCCCTTGTGTGTTGTTCTTACAATAAAGTGAATTTGTGTCTGAGACACTTCCTGTTTGCATTACTAATGTATGTGTGTTTGTGTGTGTGTTCCCTCCAGGGGTATCTTCTACCAGGGCTATTACTGCTCTCGCTGTGGAACAGGAGCACACAAAGAGTGTCTGGAAGTCATCACCATCTGTAAAATCAGTAAGTGTTTCCTGTAATCTTTTAGCTGTAACACCTATAGAGATCCTTATTTTGGAGGGTGCATATAAAGACACAAAGTGATACAGTAAACTGTTGATGCAGGAAAAAGAAGCATCATTGATGGTTTTGATATTGCGATTTAAAATATATATATATATATATATATATCCCCACTGATTTTTTAAAATATATTTCTGTCCATTTCAATCTACCTGAGCACCAGTCTGCTTTTAAGTTACTTTATCTAACACAAAAATAGGGGGTGGGTTCATTCGGGTTAGCTTTCCTTTGGGACAGTGGGACTACTTTGTGATGTATTTCACTGAGTTTTGTACCAGTGAAGAAAAATCTACAACTTGGGATTTATAGGAAGTATAAACAGAAATGTGGCCCAGCCTTCACAGCAGGTATTGTTTCTGTTAATTAAACCCAGTGTTTCAAACCTTTTATGGCTTTAATGTGAAAAAAAGCCTCTCTGTGTCTCATTATGATGACTTCCATATGTAGACTTGTTAGCAATTTTAATTACACCAACAAATGTAAAAATAATGACCAGCGGGGTGCCCTGTGCACTGCAACCTACGTTCTCAGGTACCGCTCGGTTGCAGGAACATACAATGAAAAATACATCAATAATCTGTGGCACACTGAAAATGACTTTACTGTAACTTTATTGTGAGCGAACAACGTGTTTTACGTGTAGCTTCCTCAGGTTCACCCAGCATTTTTTGTCTTTTTTGTTTTGTTTGCCTTATTTTCCTGTTTGTGACTTTCTCACTTTGGGTCAAGATTATTACTTTCAATTCGAGTTTTTAATGTGCCTGCCAAAAGTATTCTCTTAGGTGTTTGAAGAACTACCACTCCTAATGGCTGTGTAGATTCAATTCAGTAAACACATTCAGTTACTGTAAGTAATCACTGTATTAACAAAACTAATAACAGTAGCGGCACTGACTGGGAATGTGAAGAATGAATTAAAAAGAGCTAAAAGTTTTGGCTCCTTAAGTCTGACGGCTTCATCCAGCATTTAATTCTTAATAAAGGACTCCAATGGCCGATGTCTGGCCGCTGCTATCTTGTGGTGGTCACCATAAGTGTGGTGGCAACTCAACGTCAGATGCTGACTGTGACAGAAACATAGATATAGTTGGATTACAAACACTGGATGGGGCGCAGACAGGCTAGTGGTTTAGCCTGCAAGCGCCCCATGTACGAGTCATGTTTTATGAACTACAGGCTTTTGTATGAAGCACTCTAATTTTTTTCCAATGTTTAAGTTTGGCACAAGTGTTAGATCAGCTGGGAGTTCCTCAGGTTCTTCCTGATACATCCTTGTCAAAAGTAAAGTAACACAGAAAATTTTAGAAAGCTAGGCTATTTGTTAAAAGTATAAAATAATTCACTTATTTGGACAGCTCACATTCAAACCTGCATATGTTGTAGGTAAGCACAGCTGCAGTAATGGAGGCTTGTCAATCCCCAGTCATATACTGGATTAGTCTGTAACGACACAGGAACAAAACAAAGTTAAACTAACAATATCTTGGTGTATTACATGCAGAAGTTAAGAGTCTTATGAAGCCCTGACACAGATTAAGACAGCTGCCGTGGTCAAAAGTTTTGTTTAGCTCGATGGTTTGTCAGACTAGTTATGAACCCTCTCTGACACTGTTTCTTTTGTCTCCTTTCAGATCCTCTGGACTTGGTAAGTAGATCTTCTATTAGTCAAAAGACTGTATTCGTTGGCGCCAGTGGTCTGGTGGTTTGTGCGGGCCCCATGTTGCAGGGGCTGTAGTCCACCAGGCGGGCGGCCCAAGATCAAATCCAACCTGTGGCTCCTTTCCTGCATGTTATCCCCCCTCTCTCCTTCTCTCCCCGATTTCTGACTCTATCCACTGTCCTGTCTCTAAACAAAGGCCTAAATATAAACCTAAAAAAATACAGTATTAGTCTTACATTTGCAATCATAATTACCATCCTCTCACTGCAGTGTTCATCTTTAAGATGTATAATCTCTCCTGTGAAAGTGACACTTTTGTTTGAAATCTTGTTGTTGATCTTTGTTTTATCCCTAACAGGAACCCGGGCTATCATCAGGTAAGAGCAGCAACACATGATGGAGAAGTCTTTGATCAGCTGTCAGATAACGAGTTTGTTCTGGACTGTGCTGTTATTGAGCAGCACAGTGCTGTACTGCCATCTAGTGGATAGATCCAGCACACATAACCAAAGCAACATTACGTTCCATGTAGAGTGGGTGGCAGTGCAAACATGACAAATAAAAGATGTGTTATATACCTTAAATGTGTTTCAATATTCAAAAACATGTACACCTTCGACGTAAGATGGATATCAAAGTTGGTCTACATTAATTAAAATGAATACGACATGTTCAGTCTGGAGATATTGTTGGAAATGACTAAGTTGTTTTTTCACAAGATTGTTTTTGTTATTATGAATATTTGTACCAAAGAAGACAGGGAAATGGATACCGTGCAAAGGTCCTGGCACAGATTTGAAAGCAGGATGTTGTGGTTTACTTTGTGTACTTTAGACCAGTGCAGCACTGAGTGGGCAACATTTTATGCAAAAACAGTCTTTTCTTATTCCAGCCTGTATCACTTTGTCACATTTTTATGCAAATCCACACTACATAGAGCTACACTCTCAACTTAAGATGTGTTGTCAGATCTATTTTCCCCTTTTAAAGGACGCTTCCCATACCTTTAGTTGTACTTAAGGCCAAACCCTTGTCCGTGTTTCCAGGTCCCAAGATGGTGGCAGTGAGGAACTACCACGGCACACCAGCAGCTACGGGGAAGACGCCGCTCTGTTTCCAAACAGGAGATTTTATTGAACTTCTGAAGGGAGATCCTGACACGACGTGGTGGGAGGTACGGTATCATTTCTATCTGAAACCATTTCCTACTTTGACAAGAAACGTTAGATTGTTTTTCTTTTTTACTCCAGCACACTGTGAACTTGTTCACTGGTCATGAAATTAACACTGACTATGAATTTAAAGTGCTGAGTTTCAGCTTTGAAAGAGCTTGAAGTTGATCACATCCAAACTGTGTGCACAGAATAGCACTCAGTGTTTTTTTTTTACCCTGTGGGATGTGTATGGAAAAAGTCTACAACTTTTACATTCTAGCCTCTCTTCAGAGGTGATTTTATTCAAAGGTTTCAAACATAAAAGTGAATCTGAACTACAGCTGCCACACTAATGTACAACATGTACTGTGAAGTCTGCTGACATTGAAATAAAGTAGCAGAAAATGTGAACACTTTACCTGGAAATTGAGTAGTAAGTGAGTGCACTTGGTTTTTTTCAACCACCAGTCTAATGCAAAAGTAATGCAGGACAGTCCAATGTCAGTAAAATAGGATTACATGTAACATGGTAAAGGTCCAACACGTATTTTAAGAGTGTCAAAGCTTAATGAACTGAACAGAAATATGGTCACATTGACAGATTAGCAAACAGACATGAATCTCAGAGGGAATATTAAAAGAAAAAATTGTAGTCAAATATATTCAGCAGTGACAAGTTCTAGAAATATTTGAAAATATTGCACTTACTGTAGTGTGAGTGAGGATGTTGGATCTTTAACTTTGATTTTTAAGTTTTTCAAAGGTAACTAAATGTCATCACCACCCACAACGCCCACTCATTAAGTTTGTAAAGTTAAATCCAAATACAAACAGAGAAGATTTTTCTTGGCCTGATGCAGTGATGGTCACTGCTGAGCAACAACCACAACTTGTTCCTTAAACACTTGAACAATTCAGACAATTAAACTAACTGATTCAGGTTTTTTTTAGTCTTTTTTTTTTAAAGTTATTCTAATCTGACTGTAACCCTTTCCTCTGGTGTGTGATGAGCAAATGGGCCAAAATGTCAAAGTTTTCCACATAATTTAGTGTGATGTAGAAAAGAGCCAAAATATTTTCACATTTTACTTGTTTTAAAAAGCTTTTTATTGACAGGACAGAGTCAGAAATCAGGGCAGAGAGAGTGGGTAATGAAATGCGGTTTCCCGCACACGGGCCGCCCGCTTGGAGGACTACAGCCTCTGTAGATGGGGCCACTACTCTAACCACTAGGCTAATGGTGCTTTGACATTTTAACCACATTTTGATCACAAGATCAATACAACTCAAAAGGTAAATCTAATTGTAACATTAAATTAAACAATAATTCAAAACTAGATTATTTTAACATACAAGCTGAAGTCAAATACAAGAATAGTTCTGATGTCATCGATGATGTGTTGCTGCAATCTGGAACATGAAGGTGAAATGAACATTTCATGAGACATATATTGAAGGACAGTTAAGGCTGCAAGAGACAAAAGTGACTGGAGTTTTATGGGATTATAAATGCAGCCAAAATCAGAATAATCTAACGCACAGCAGGACTGTTCAGAAAGACTTTAAAGGAGCAATATGTTACTCTGACACCTAGTGTTTAAAATGGGTACTGCAGCCCAAATTCTAAACATTGGCGAGAGCGCCCCCCCCTCCTCACTAGAGTTGATGTACACCCAAGTTGCCATGTCGTGGACTCTGTAGCTTTAGTGTTTAACCAGCTCTGCATCGGTTTTGAAACTTTTCTGCGTTCTTACCTCTCTCCAATTTTTTAAATCCATCTCCAATATTTCTCTTAGTTTCAGCACGTTTCTGCTAGTGGAGCTCATTGGAAAAATGTCAAAGGTTTTTATGTCGGGTAGAATCAGTTACATGGGAACCAGTTTGCTTGCCCGATTCTATTGCTGCAACACCTGTTGGTTTGCCGTTTGCCTGGTGAACTGAGGGGCGTCCAAAATGGCCGCGTGGGGTCACCTCAAAACCGCCTACCATCTCTAGTCAAAACAAAAAAGAAACCTGAATCCAAATTTAGAAGGAGGGCAGGACATAATGGCTGCTGCATTGTTTTCAGAGATGCCAGCACTTTAACATAGTACTAATGATACAGTAAGGTCATTTTATGACTTAACTCAGTATATATCTCACATATTGGTCCTTTAGAGGTTGAATGCATATAAAACATTGGCTCCAACAACAAGTTTTGCATTGAGGCATCCTCAGGTTCGCTCCTGATTTCCACTTGATTCGTGTCAGCTGTGGGTTTACAGGATTTTTCAGTGTCACTAGGTGGTGGTAATTACAGGTCATGTGACAACTGAAGTCATATACATCAAATATCGTCTTTCACATTATTTACATATATAAATGTACTTTAATCTGAGTATCTTGGTTCTGATCTCCCATACTTATTCACATGAATGTTGTAAACTTCAATGTTAGTTAATGCCTTTCTCAAGAGTTTCAGCACATACGTTGATTTTGTAAGATTATTTCTGGGAAGATAACCTTTTCTGAAGTAGACATCTGGGGGAGATGACATTTAACTGCAGTCAGATCACAGGCAGGTCTGTTGTAGTTTCATGGTGTTTATTAGAGGCTGCTCCACAAACAGCATACATCACATTGTAAAAACCTGGTGCAGTGTTTCTTTCTGTGGTTTGGTGTGGAACTGATGATTCTAAAATTGACAAAGGACACTTTGTAACCTCCCATAGAAGTTCTTTCTTTCTTTCTTTTTTCTCCTTTTAGTCATGCTGCAATCCAGGGCTAACCCATCCACAGACTTTTTGATGTTTTGTAGTCTGATAAAAGCAGACACTACTGCAACAATCATTCTTCTTATCTTTCAGAGTTAAATCCAATGTATCTCTTTGTTGAGCATCAACAAAGCTGTACCTGCAAACCCACAGGACCCTCACCTGTGATGACAGGAGCTGTTACATACATGGCTCTGGGCATTTCTGACACTCCTGCTGAGTCACTGGCTCTCCTACACTTTCAACTCCTTGCATCAGGCTAGCTTTTCCTAAAAAGACCCAGGGCAAGCTTCTGAAGCCATTAATCTAAACTCTCCTATTACTACATATCCCTCTGCGGCCTGACAGTTCAGTCCGTCCGTGCAAACGCCTAGGAGTGTGTTGAGCTGAAGAATCAATCGCTTCAGGTCGCAGACAGTCCAGGCTTTTGAACTTCTGTCCCAACGCTGATTGGAACACTTGAGGAACGTTTCTTTTTTTCTCAACATTGGTGCAACACTTGACATCAGTGTAAAATGTTAATGTGTATGTCGGGAAAGCCACAAGTATTTTAACCTCAGTTACACTCACAGTCTTTACAAATAAGCCACATGAATGTATCATGTTTTCCACATGCAGTGTAGCAAAATATGGATCGTATGTGTTAAATTGGAATTTACCTTGGCTTCACACATCACATAACAGAATAGTTTTAAAAACACCTCAGTGCTTTGGCATACATCCCTGTCGGCCATTTTTACTGTTATAATTCATTATGTATTATAGGTTTAAGTTTTGACTCCCTACAAGCCACTTCTTATCTAATGAACTGAATTTAATTTTCTCTAGTGCATTTTCCCCCCCAATTTAATTTGAGGGCAATTTATAACAGCGCTGTAACTTTGCTCTATTCTTTCAATTCAATTAATTCAGCTTTTTATTATTTTCAAATATCTGATTGATCTGTTCGTCTTATGTAAAAGTGTTTTTATAGTTGCCTTTTTAAAGGGCAGCATCTGCATTGCACTGTGAATCAAATATGCCCTGCATTTTTCTTCCAGGGGAAGCTGATGCAAACACAGAAGAGCGGCTTCTTCCCCAGTTCGTGTGTCAAACCTTATTTGGACCCAAAGGTATGTAAACCCCGTGTGGTAGACGTGCATTTGAAGGAAATAATTAGAGTGTTTGTGGGTGTTTTGTTTTGCAAGCTTTCCAAAGCAGCACCTTTCTCTCTTCAGTGTCCACTTAATTACCTGTGTGGGTATCCACCTATAAATGATCTGCTTCTGTGCTGTGTTTTTGTTCTGTTTATTAGTCTTTTAATGTGCTGTGTCTGTTGTCCATGGCAGCCTTTTCAGTCATTATCCAGCCGGCAGACCTCAAGGGAAGCGGACTACTATGGATATCCTTGGTAAGACTCCTGAAGGTTGTGGATTCAATAGTGTTTCATTCTCATCATTCATGGCCTTATTTGTTACATTCTACAATTTATTTTAGGTCACTCACTACCCTTTAATTACTTCAGATCTATAAATATAAATACAGGAAAACTATAGACTTAAGTGATAGTTAATTTAAAGACCCCGAAACACGGCCGCTACCATAAGATTCATTTCAACGTGGCTGTTTGATGTCAAGGATTTTCAAGGCCCTCAAATATGTCATTTTGATGATGTAACTTTGTAGCCGGAGGTCTCAACATTTATTCTGCACTCCTCTGCTCTGTAGGTTTGCAGGGAACATGGAGCGCCAGCAAGCAGACAACCTTTTAAAATCCCACAGCAGCGGGACCTACCTTATCAGAGAGAGGACAGCCGAGGCAGAGAGGTTCGCCATCAGCATCAAGTGAGTGCTTCACATCTTCAGGGAGAGGGGCGGGGGAATCTCAAGGGGGAAGCGTTTTATCCATATCTCACGGGAAATAAATATTCTCACGTGGTTCCCCTTGTCAGCTTTTTCCTTGCATCTTTCAGCGGCTAATTACCACTCGGTAATTGCTTCTTTTTTCTTTTTTTTGTGTGTGCATTTCCTCTGAGAGAATGCATGAGGAATATGCAGGAGCTTTTACTGGAGTTGTCATGGCGTGATGAACTGGGAGAAATGCTTGTGCACATTTGTTTTCCAGCCTTTAAGACAGGTGAAAATGGGCCTCAGGGACCAGCCTTTCAGACAAATTATTAAAGAGGTCTGGCTGTCAGATTTAACCTGTGGAAATCTTGTTTTGTTGTTTTAGTCCTTCAGGTATTTATCTAAATATTTGATGTCGACAGCAGCTGAACACATCACCCCACAGGCTCATAACCCTTAAGCAAAACAAGAAGTAACAGCAACAAGCAAAATGGAAGTATCACAAGGAGGCTGGAAATGGAAGGAAGCACTTTTTTGTTGATTTTTCTCCGTGGTGTTTGACTTCACAGGTTTAATGACGAGGTAAAACACATCAAAGTCATCGAAAAGGACAGCTGGATTCACATCACTGAGGCGAAGAAGTTTGAGAGTCTTTTGGTGAGTCATAAGTTGAACTGCTTACACAAAAAATACACACAATACCATGCTACAAATGTTAAATCAAACGGTCTCCTAATGTCTTCTGTCCTGATGATTGTTACAGGAGCTGGTTGAGTACTATCAGTTACATTCACTGAAAGAAAGCTTCAAGTTGTTAGACACCACGTTGCGATACCCCTACAAATCGAGGGAACGTTCGCTCACACGGGCCAGTACACGCTCACCAGGTAAGTGCCCCCCCCCCCCCTTCACTATTACTACTTAAACTCTGAATGTAAAACAATCTGCTTTATCACCTAACCCTACTGTCACAAGCAACCAAGTAAAGAAAGCTGTTACATGAAGGTCAATTGATGAGAGCAGCCAAATGCCACTTCCTGTTGCCATATGGGTGAAAACAAGTCCTGTGACAGTACTGGTGGCAGATTAGGATAGCCTCTTAGCAACCAGGCTAATATATGTTGTACTTCAAACAATTTGAAACACAATTTGAAATGTGAAAGAAGAGCTCTGTGACTTTGGGCTAAACTAGAGTGGATGTAGGTGGTAATGTATTGGGCCGGTGTTAAGTCCCTAACTTTAAAGGTCACATATTATCCTCCCTTTCAACAAGTTTAATTAAGTCTCAGAGCTCCCCAAAACATGTCTTTGACGTTTTTTGCTTAAAATCCACTCAGATCTTGTATTTTATCATGCTTATGAACCTCTCTATTCCAGCCCTGCTCAGAACACTTTCTGACCACGCCCCTCTGTGAAGGGGGTGTGGCTTGGGCTTTCTTGCACCATGCCCTTTTACTTAGGATAGAAAGTGCAGACTCAGAGGGCAGAACACCCAGCTGTGAGAGTCTCACCCACCTTGGCACCTACGCTTCATAACAGCTCTTGAATAGCTTTTGATTCAACAGCGGATCAAGCTAACAAGCCTCGCCTATGATCATGAGTTTTTGGGTATTTTCCAAGACTGTTCAAATTTAGATCACAGACAGATATGTACGGAATTAGTTTCTTTCAAGGCTTGATTGAGCTAGCCCCTCCTCTTATTAATCTTAACAGAATTATTTGCTAAATTGCTCCGCCTGCCGATTGAAGGAGGAATGACGCCTCTCCAGCTAATTTTGTTGTTCAAAAATGAAGCCGAAAACCCCCCAAAGTGGCAGGTACTGACAAATTGCACATTAAGAGCTAGAGTCTGCGTAGTTGGGATCAACTAATTGAGCTGCGGTATTGATGTCATGCCCTTTCTGCTCACCAAATCACACATTGAACTTCCCAATGAAATGGCAAAAGCATCAAATGTTTAGGCTAAAGTTTTTGGACCTGTTACTTCCTTTGATCTTATGTAGTCTAAGGTTTAGGCATTTGATTCGGATGCCTCTAGGACATATCCCTAGTGTGGTAATTAAGGTCTGACCAGATGGTAGGGGAGACCCAGAACACACTGGAGGACTTAGATATCCAAACAGGCCTGGGGAAATCCTCAGATAACCCCAGGAAGAGCTGTGGGCAAAGCTAGGGCAAAATATATACAGGCCTCCTTAGTTTGTCATTGTGAGCGGGAAAAGCTGAAGCAGTGGAAAATGGATGGATGGATGTTTTGCCCAGCCACTAATAACTGCCAGCTTCCATGAATCACTACAATACACATTTGACTCTGAAGGGACATTATAATGTGCAGATCCAGGAATCAATTTGAATCGCTTGTCGTCTTGGCTGTGGAAACGGCAAAGAAGGCTAAAATAAAACTGACACACTACCTCCGTCTGTCCTTGTCGTCGCTGGTGCTCTCTCCATCCCCCAGGCCACTGACTGTCCTAACTCGTAGAGTGAGGAATGGAGGAAACCCAGAGGGGGAAAAGAGCTGGAGATGGAGACTAGCAGTTTTAAATTTATAGTAGATAGAAAGGAAAAGTTAGAGAGTTTGTCAGCTAACTCAATGGCCTATTCTCGGGCTGTCCGAATTGGCAGCCCTCTCAGCTCATTACACTGTCTCAATACTGGCCGGGGCCTGCCTTTGTTCCATAAGCAGGAAGAACTGGCCACTGCATGCAGATTGTTTCCCTTCGCTTTTGGCTGAACCGATTAAATGGGGGGGGGGGGGGGGTTCCTTGCTTTTTCTCCGTTTCTGTTTGTCAAGGGCAACATTCTATATGTTTTTTTGTTTTTGTGTCAGACATATTGCAACACACAGGTGTGCATGATGCATTTCAGTTCATACCATATATCATCATTCAGGTGGAGGAGCAGCCATTGACAATTTATATATGCCTGATTAAAAGCTTTACAGATTTAAATATTGCAACTCAGCCTCGCTCACAACAAATGAAAGACACATCTTTTTTCTTCCATTTACTTTGTTATTTAAGAAGCTTTATGAGAGTCAAAAACTAGGAACAAGAGACATTATACAAAAAAAAGCCCAAAAGCTGCTACTTACGAAGTAAAGTACACAACAAAGTTTTCTAAGCATCCTTACAAACAATCTGAGCCTTTGGTTGGAGAAATACAATTGTACAAGTACATTTGAAACCTGGAGGATTTTGACACAGATATTTGATCAAACAAACTGTAGGGGTTGACGCTAAGCTATGCAAGGCCTGTCTCTTTTTTTTTTTTTTTTTTAATACTTTTTTGGGTCCTGTTACCTTTATTAGATAGAACAGCTGGAGAGAGACATGAATCAACATGTGGGTGGGAAAAGTTCAGGGGATGTCATGCACCAATTGGTTACTTATCAGGAACTGAATTAGCGACCAGTGCAACAAGGACTGTAGCCTCTTTAGGTGGGATGCTTGCTCGATCAGCTAAGAGCCTGTGTCCACAGACAGTATTTTTTGTACTGGCAGCACCCTAGACCTCAGTTTCAGAGCGCTTCTCACCAGCGCTCGTTGTTGCTAGGTTATGTTTTAGATAGCTATTTGTACTTGATGTTTGCTTTAATTCACACAGTGTCATAAATGACTGAAGATCTTATAAATGCCAAGTTGTTGTCTTCAGACTCAACACATAATCAGTCAAATCAAGTTAATGACATTCTCAAGGTCATACAACTCTTTCCAAAAAAAGACAATATGAACACACAATCTTTTCTTTTTCTTGTCTCGCTCCGGCTCTGCATGCTCCTCAAAAAGCATTTTCCAGCTTTATTTCCTCCTCTCTTTCTCTCCTCCTCTCAGCAGCCACATGCGCCTCCTACAACTTCTCCTTCCTCAGTCCGCAGGGCCTCAACTTCTCGTCCTCTCAGAGCTCAGCTCCCTTTTGGTCAGGTACTCTTTGTCTTTCTAATCTTGCTGCTGTTGTCTTCCCGCCGCCCCTCCATCGCCATGTAATTTCATAATGAGCCTCGGCGCTCTCGACCTCATTACTACTTCTCTGTGGCGCTCTTTTCATTAGCAAGAACATTTCAGCTCTTCCCAGGATGACACTACCTCATTAAATCAAGAGAAGAAAAACCAATTTCCTCTCCCATGATGAAACAACTTGTCTCATTTATCATTGTGTGACTACACCGTGTCATGCTTTACACTCTGAACACTGACCATCTTTGTTTCTGCTAATTCTTCACAGCTAATCATTAGGATAAAGTTCAGGATGACCTTTCCCCTCCTCACCATCTGCTTGATAAACCTGTTGTTACACCAGTTTATTATTTCAACTAATTGCCTTCAAACTCTCGTAATGCAGAATTGATTGAGCTCTCTCCTCATTGGTTCCACTTCCACAGTGTTTACTCCACGTGTGGTCAGTACGGCAGTGGCCAGGTATAACTTTGCAGCACGAGACATGAGAGAGCTGTCACTCCGAGAAGGAGACGTCGTCAAAATCTACAGCAAGATCGGAGGAGACCAGGGCTGGTGGAAAGGAGAGGCTAATGGACGAGTGAGTTGACCATGAAGGGAATAATGGATCCAGACTAAAAAAAGCCTTTGCAGACAGTTGAGGCTCTGAGTGCTTTGTAGATTTGCTTCATTTCCTGGTTTATTAAGACAGATCCTGCTGCTGGCTCTGTGAAAATAGGGATGCATTCAGGAACTTTATCTTTTAAGCACAGCTCTCATTAGGCTTTCATATGCATCATTGTGCTGTAGCTGGGTTGTATGCTGTTGTGTATTCTTGATTGAGGGTACAGATGCCGTCTGTCATTTGGATTTCTTCAATGTGTTTGCATCTTTCGTACTTCCATCTCTATATAATATAATATATAATATAATTTGATCAAATTGTATGAATTGATTATGAAAAGAGGGGTAATCATCAACACAACTAACATGCATGCCGAAATAAGATACTTAAAATAAAAAAAAAGATATGGACAAAAGGAAAATTCAAGAATAAAGGAAGTCCAAACCCCTCCACCTCCCCATTCCAGTAAAGCATCCGAGAAAGGATCATTCAGGCTTTTTAATTTACAGAAAGCATCTCTATTATTGTCTCCTTCACCATGTGCACTGGGGCTGTGAATAGTTCTAGGTACACAGTGTATGTTAAAATCTAGAAAAAGAAAATTTGTTTTCGGACCAAACAGTTCCAGGAACTTTTCCACTAGGCTTATCCCTGAGAACTAACACACCATGGGAACTTTTTTCTGTCTGCATTCGCACCACCATGGTACCTACTCTGAAGCAGAACTAAAAAAGGTTCCTCTAAACGGGGTTCTAGGAACTAAAATAGTTCATTGTTGCTGCTGTGTGAAATTAATTAAAAAAAAAAAAAAAAAGGTGGAGGGTTCCAACAGCTCCTAGAACTATGAAGAAGTTACCAAAACACCTAAAACCTTTAGAGTGTGGACGCTTCCAGCATGTGGCAATCAGCTTCTGAACTCCCTTTATTCATTCATTGCCAAGGCCATGTTAATGAGAGCTTTTGGAAGAAGTACAACTAGACTGGTGAAACTAGGTGAATTTATCTCAAAGACTGAAGGCAGCCGTCCCCCAGAATACGGCCCACTTATGCCCAGTACATGTGGGGAAAAGTACAAGTAGTCTTCACAGTGTACGGGAAGGGTCAGCTTGATGTTAAGTAGACTCTGTGAACTCAATTATAATGTCTTTTCTGGTGATCCAGAAATTCACTTCTAAATGACTGTCACTTTCATCTATTTCTTATCAAACGTTAGATACTATATAACCTTCTAGGTGCCTTAGCTGCTTATATTGCTTTTATTCTGATTACTAACACCATTTTCTGAGGTGTTTTGGCTCATGCTGTTATTGTATCTAAGACAGGTGTAGTTAGTTAGTATCTGGTTGAAAGGTCACTTGACTCAACTTTTTATAACCACATGGATGACCATATTTTCCACACTGAAAGCCGATAACAAGATGGCCATGTTCCTCTTGTTCAAATGTTATTTTGAATCTTTATAAATTCACATGGTTGGTATTATCTCTGGTGGTTCAGTACCCACTGTTCCAATCAGGATAAGAAGTCGTTGCCTAGCAACATGTTGAAGTAGTATTTCAACAGCTTCAAGTAGTGTTTCAGTTGAGTCTGCTATCTGAGATTTTAAGTAATCAGAAATAATGCACATCCTCGACCAATAAAGGGAAAGTTTACCGAGAGGCGTAAGTGTTCTGTAATTTATGTTGCACGTATCCTACAATGTATTCACTTTAGTGTTACCTCACAGTTTGTCTGGCTAAATGCACATCTTAAATGCAGAGTAAAAGGTGGACTCAATTAGTAGCCTACCCTTGATGCTGCTGCCATGGTTAAAGTGTTTATATTTTTTAATTCTGCAGCTTATTTCCATTAAACGGAACCGTAATGGACTCACTTAGCATCCCTTGTTTACATGGGCTGAAAGGACATTATATCTCTGATAAATTCTCTTTTATGTTGCAGATCGGATGGTTTCCCTCTACCTATGTGGATGAAGAAGGAGTGCAGTAAAGCTCGGATGTATGCTGGCCTGGCTCCCTTTAAATCAGGACCCATCTTCTATCTACTGTTCTCAGAGAAAATTGCTCTCTCTCTCTCTCTCTCTCTCTGTCTCTCTCTCTCTCTCTCTCTCTCTCTCTGCAGGAAAATGACACAAGGAAAATACAACTTTTGGTTTTATTTTTTTGCTACAAACCATTTTTTCAGCAAGTGTTTCTACACCTTTTCTCTATCTTCAATTATGCATCAGCTTAGCTTTTTTGTTGCAGGATTTCCTGTTTGATTTCTATACAGGAAAGAAGAAGAAAAAAAAAAGCTTTCTGTCTGCTGTATTGAACTGAGCACACGGCAGAAACGGACTATGGAAAGCTTTTCTTTTAAAAAAAAAGCTCCCCTTTGTTGCAGGTTTATGCGAGTTGAAATAATTGTACAGTATAGATAATTTATTGAATAGAGATTATTATCATTACTAATGATTACTGTCGGGGAAATCGTTTTTTGAAACAGTGAGGAATCCGATGGGAGAAAACCTAAAATGAGAACTAAAAAAGAGACAGATGCTCTGTTTTCATGTTGAGAGATTTTTGCCTTAGTTGTCATGGTGATGCCTTGTGGGCTGACACCAGTGGAGGGAATCGACTTAGTTTGACTGGTTTTACTTCTCCATGTATGCATGTGCCCACGAGCGGCTCACACACACACACACACACACACACACACACACACACACACACACACACACACAGACCAATGTACAGTCTGGTGCCTTTGAAGAATGGTCACTTACTGAACCTCAACATCAGCCAGTAAAAGAACATTGCCATCCCCTAAAAGACAGTCTGTCCAGGAGGGAAGAGGCACTTATAGAACATACTGGGGACAGCTTGCCTTCTGAGCCCTCATAAAAACAAGATGGTGAAGCATTTAACGCATCCAAACTGGAGACTGGATGGACTCAGAGAGACAGATGGACGTTTTTTTTTTATAGACAACAACAATGACATAACACGGTCGGATTTTGGCATCACAAGTCTGTGGGCGTAATCAGCTGGATGCGAAAAAGGGAAACATTAAGACATTCCACTCGACTACCACTTCACACTTTGAAATCTCGCTGTTCATTGTTTCCTTCTTTGATTTATTTGCACAGAATCAAGGTTATTTTTTAAGTTTTGAGAACTGGACCAACAGGTTTTTATTTTTTATTATTATTATTATTTGAAGCCAAATTCAGTCATGTTTTAATGTCTGCATGGAGTTCTGATCCATTGTTATGATTTTTGTACCTTGCCTTATTTTTACTGATGATCAGGTGATGGGTTTTTCTCCCCCTTAATGTTAATGGTTTCTTTCTTTTTTTATGTGTGAAATCCATTTTGGTGCTGTGCGGACTGGTGAAAATTAAAGTGTCAGAAGACTGTCAATCTGAAGGAAAACTTTGTGTTGCTAATTAACGTGAATCCACAGAAGGAGCCCTGAAAATGATTGTGAAGATCGAGGGTTGCTGTGCTCAGTGTTTCCTTTTTACTTAGTGCCATCAAAACCTTTTAACAATTTACCAAAGTATGTTGGCATTCATCTTTTATGAGTCTTCTTTGAGATTATTAATACCGGAGCACTTTCTGATTCTAGATATGCAAATGTTTAGTTACCATTTCATCTTAGCGTTCTTTAACCTTTTTTATTACCGGATGTACGGCTGTACCTCTAACCTTTGCATGTTCCACCCACACATTTCAATATTAATATGTATATTTATATATTCAAATCAAATCATCAAATCAAACTTTATTTATAAAGCACCTTTCAGACAAATTAAATTGCAGTTCAAAGTGCTTAACAAGAGTGCAGAAAAGTTATTGATGAAAAAGTAGTTTATAAAATCATTGATAAAATCATTGAGAGACTAATGCACACCAATAAGAATTTAAAAAAAATATGTATAAAAATTAAAAAATAAAATACGACACAAGATATTAAAATTAATACATAGGAGAAGAATACTTAAAATTGTAGTAGGATAAAAAAGACAATACAATGATGTTAAGATTTGAATTTATATAAAGCACTATATGAAAGCCAGACTGAATAAATTAGTTTTAAGACTGCATTTAAAAGTATTGATTACAGCTTACACTGAATTGTCTTTTCTTATGGATAGAAAGTTAATAAATGATTTACCTATAATGGGAAAAGTAAAAGGGCTGCCCGCTTATAGTCAGCGATGCAAATCAGCAGTCAACTCGCACTTTGTCACTCGATTCTTTGCACTTCTGTTTTCTTTTAGCTGCAGTATGTACACAGAGCAATGCAAGATCACCAGCATAGCAGCCTGTACACTTCACAAACATCGTCTGAAACTCTTTCCCATCCCACAGCGTTTTTTGAATGTGTGGTATTGGAATTCCTTCCCTCCATAAAACAGATATGATGAATACAGATAAAACAGTAAATCAGCTTCTTTGAGAAGCTTGAAAAGCTTCTCAGATGCTATAATGATGGTTCAGGATGGCATGAGGGGCTGCCAGCTGAGCTGCAGCTAGCTTGTGTGCAGGTCCTCACCTTGTTATGATTCCTTCTGTGTTCATCATTGTTTTAATGAGAGCCAAACTATCAACATAGGCCTTTTTTTTTATTTCAACACCAACTGAACTCATTAAAGCAAACTTGATAAAGCAGTAGGGGCACCTCCGAGCATGCAGCCCTGGTTCTACTTAAACCCTCAGTACTTTGCCACTGTACATGTCATCCCCTACTATCTCACCACTATATACAACCCTATTCGCTCTCCTCCTGAAGGCATTAAAACCCACAAAGTAATTAAAAAAAAGTTGCTTCAGGCAAACAAACTCAGACTGACCGGTTACTTGCAGTTCCATGTTATAAATCATTTTTCTGACAGTCCATGCAGGGTTGTAGAGATTGTGAGCTGAGCTGCTGCTAACTTTAGCTCACTGACATAGCAGCCTTTATCTGGTTATTTAATATATAGTTCAAATGCTGGCAGCGGTCAAAACTTTCAAAAAGTTTGTCAGCTGTTAGAGTTTTTCTGTCCAGTCAAAAGGCACTGCTCTGTTTAACATACTCTTACATGTTGAACCTGAAGCTCATGGAGTAAAGAATGGTGTGCCCAACTTTCTCTCCATGGAAAAAAAAAAGGATCAACAAATTAAAGATTTGTATAAGTAGCCAAATCTAATTGGAATGATAATTTTCTTGAAACAGTTCTTTTAGTTGCTGTCTGTGAAATGCAAATGGGTCAAAAATAAATCCATGGACTAAATTTAAGCTGACTTAACTAACTGGAATTATTCAAAATGCATCCCACTGACAAGTAAACTGCAAACACTGAGCACATCAGCTCGAGTCCGTTCACAGAGACTAATGGAGCCGGAGATGCTGATATGTTTAGTTTCTAAACTCATTGCTGTCTATGATTTCTGTAATGAGAAAAAAAAAGTCTTAGCACTGTGTGACGGAGACACACAGGAGGCCTCTATGTTGTCTCGAATGAGGAAGACAGAGGGGGGTGTAGTCGCTGTTCATGTAGTGGAGAGGAACCCATTGCATGTGGCTATTGATATTTCAAGTCCTGTCAATTACATCCTCAGAAACATGAGTACTTAAATGTGTACATTTTTTGGAATGGTTTGGTATTTCCAAAAAAGGTCTATCATGAAATAAATATTTCTTCTTTGGTTTAAAATTCAGACTGAATCATTTCCAAGTTGGAGTTTGAGGTTTAATGTTGTCTTTATTATCTCTGTGAGAGGGCAACTTGTAGTCGGCCATAAAAAAAATACATACATACAATTAACAATCAACATACCACATAAACACAGTTTAACTCTGAAATCTGAATTGTATTGGCCAGCTCATAACAAGCTGTTTCTGTGTCTATAGCTTTAAATGGAAAAGAGCTGTGTCTGACCACGCCCATCATGGTGCTTTCTTGCACCATGTCCAATTTTCTATGGTGAGACATCACCCATAGTTTCTCCTGCCAGACCCCCTGGTATTTTTACCACAGCCACACAGCCACTCTCTCTCTCTCTCAGAGAGAGAGAGAGAGAGAGAGAGAGAGAGAGAGAGATGATAAGCTGCACAGAAATAATTGACAACATACAGACTTCACAGAACTCTGCACAAGAAAAAAAAACAGCATTTGAAGTTAAGACAACAAACGTTGCAATGAAACAAATGCATTCAAGGAGACTAAACAGTTATTATCTCTATCTTTTTCTCTGTCTCTCTCTCTCTCTCTCTCTGGGGACCAGACCTCAGTGACGACTGTAACCCATTTACTTTCTACAAATTGGGGTCTCTTAAAGCTATAACAGAAAATGTTGTTTCATGATCATATAAGTTAAGAACTTGATAAGAAACCCAGGGTTTCCCGATCTACTGATTAGTGTTTTAACATGAAAGAGGCGGTGAGGAAGTACCCTTCTGGGAAATCAGGATTTAAAGCAATAGAGCTGCAAGAACAGCTTACCATCAATCACAAACTGTGTGTGCCTGAATAGACATTTTGTCACGGCCCAGTTAGTACACATGTAATCTCTACGTACAGATTCTACATACTATTGTATAATCTGTACGTAGATCTGGATTTTAGCATGGAATATGTTGAGTATGTTTGTAGTCTGAGAAATATTGACCGCTTATGTTTCAGAAGGCTTTGGTGTATAGAAGAAAAACAAAAGCAAAAGCAGGCTGCTTCGCTCTCATCAGTGGTAAGGTGGTGAAAATGAATGGATCTGTAAAAATACATGTATGTATGCTAAGTGCAGCAAACAAGTGGAGAGGATTTTAAAAGTGTTTTGAATATTTTGTCCTGTCCGTTGACACACATGAGAGGAGAAAAATATTAGGAAGGCTTTCAATATAACACACTCTACCTACCTACACGACTGCCACCACTCACTACGCCTTCAAAGCTTAACATAAAGTAAATGAAAACCTTTCTGTCAACAAAAACTGAAAATGTCGGTCTGTCAAAGGAGAATGTTGTTCTTTAATCAGTCTCTATTGAAGGATGAGGTCGATAAAAAGCAAAATGATTATCTCTCATACAGTACACAGAGACATGAGAATTGATTGGTTGTGGGTGATACTTGTACACATCCTTATGTCTTCTTTGTAAAACACAACTTCCCATGGCACAGTTAAGGTGTGGAGCATCACTTATCACAGCAGCATGGCTGTTGTATGACATGAATTGCCATCAAAGTTATCTAAATCAATGACTATAATGAGGTCTTTGTCATAAAGTTAACCTCAAACCGTGCTTTGTACCACAGGCCTCTGAGGTACAAAGGGAAGGGTTAATGGGACTGTTCTATATTATGAAACAACTTTTTTCAATGCATATTTGAAATGACCCTCTCAGAAATAATGTTAAAGGAAGAAGTTAGTAGTTCTGTTCCTTTGTCATTGTCTGTCATAAGATCTGTTGTTTGTACTGCTTTCCTAAATGTTATGAGGTAAAGGGGCAACCATATGCAGCACATTATGACCATGAATACAATCACTGAGTATAAACATGGTTGACACCAGCGAAAACGATTGGTAGGAAAATTCAGTTTTAGTTTAAGTTTCAAATTTGATTGGGGAGGCTCAGGGTTCAGTTGGTAGAGTCTGTCGTCTCTCAACTTGAAGGTCGTAGGTTCGATCCCCAGCTCCTACAGCCACCAGTCCGATGTGTCCTTGGGCAAGACACTTAACCCCAAGTTGCACCCGCTGCTTTGTCGGCTACTCCGGCTTTCTCCCACAGTCCAAAGACGTGCTCGATATGTTAATAGATTCATCTAAATTGTCTGTAGGTGTGAATGTGAGTGTGACTGGTTGTCTGTCTCTACATGGCAGCTCTGTGATTGGCTAGTGAACAGTCCAGGGTGTACCCCCCCCCCCCCTACTTCTGATGATCACTTGACATAGCAACCTCTGCCATCAGTGTGTGAATGGCATGGTGTGACCTGCGGTGTAAAAGCACTTTGAGTAGTCAAAGGACTAGAAAAGTGCTATACAATGATCAAGTCCATTTCCCAATTATTGATTCTTTAAGGAAAATAAGAAAACTTACATGATTTAGACTGTTTGAAAGTAGCCAACCTGACGAAGTCTTCTTACTGCACAGCTTTGAATTCTGTTATAAATTGTTTTTTTTTTTGTTTAAGCGTCCAGACAGCATTGAATCTTCTCTGCAAATATCACAATGAGAGCCAAACACTAAATTCTAGAACTCCTACTGATGGTTAGACTGCATATTCATCCCTGCCGTCATATTCCACTGGTGTGTATTTGACCGGTGTGTGTCCGTGGCTGTTGTTTGAGGGAGTATGTGTGCACCCTTCATTGAAAGAGCTCACCTCGCTGCCTCCAACCTGACAGTAAGAAACCTGTGGCTGTCGAATGGTGCTCCGGCTCGTGTGGCGACTCACAGGGCGGTTTTCAGGAGGCGGAACGTCCTCCCTGTTAGATATCAGAGCAGAGCAGAGAGTGAAAAAACTACAAAGTGAAATGATTTTTTATTTATTTTCCGCTTTGGAAATAGTTTTTAGGTTCAATCATTTGACTGCAGAGAATTAGGGCTTCCTTTTTTACATGGTGAAATGGCTTGGAAGGCAATTGTAGAGGCTGAGTGAATGGACTGAGCTGTCATTTTAATAAATCAAAACCTTTTTTATGGAGCTTTCGGGTAGAGCCTGACAGGCTGGGTGGATTTGCATTAAAATACTTTCTCATCATATGGGTTAAGAAAGCTGACAATTCCCTTATCATATCCTTGTATAACCTTTAAGATAGGTCCCAATATGGTTATATTTTCAAAGATAACGCCCAGGCTAAACCTCAAAAACAGGTTTGAATGACAATACGAAGAAAACAGCAACAATTCTTAGCATCAAGAAGCTCAACCTTCATTTTTTTTCTATGCACATAACATAAAAGATTCAATATTTCTCGTCCCTACAGATCCAGTTGTATTTCTGTATTTTTTGCATTGAAAGACAACTGCTGTTTTATCTTTTAAGCACAAAGTTACTTGCTTGTAGCTTTTATGTCTACTAGCTATCTGAAAGCCTGCTTGTTTTGGTCCTCCTCTGTGTGCTTGTATCCATATTTACCACAGTGTACGCACCGTTCCCCTGAGCAACATAGCGCTGCCCCGTAGGTTAAGGGCATAAATATTTGTTGTCTTTGCCTATTTGGATGCGTCTCCCTCGAGCTCCTACTTTCTCCGAGGCCCTGCTTTCTCTCCCCCACTTTCACTGAAGCATAAAATTCACTCTGGTGGTGGTTCAACCATCAAACGCTGACAAGGAGCATACAGTACAATCTTCCCTCGTCAACACCGCTGCCAACGTTCAAACTAAGAAAGCTCCTTTGCATTCTGCATTTATGTAACTCTGCCACAGCAGCTGGGATCTGCTCCTCTGTCAAAGATAACGCCTGCACAGCCTGATCGACTTTGGCATTTTCAGATCCTGCAGAAGAATTTTGCTGGCAAATGGAATGGATATTTTTTCTGTTCAGCTGATATGGGAAATAATGTCTGTTGTTTTCGGGGGGCTGTGATTAAGGTGTGTATGTGTTTGACAGGATGTGGGTTAGGAACTCATTCAGTAAAATAAATTACAAACCAATGAATTGTTTTGTTTGCCAGGGGAAGATGTTCATCTTTTTACATAAATTTGTTCTGAAAGTAATTTACACACAAATGAAATGAACACACTTAATTGTATATGTATCAAGTTGCACGGTGTCAGGCAGTTTGTTTGTTACTGAGAAAGATTTGAAAAGGACTACATTTGTTAAAAGAATTATTTTGGGGCTTTTTGCCTTCATGTGATAGGACGTGGATAGAGTAGGAAACCAGGAGAGAGAGGGAGTGGGGATTGGCACCCTGCAGGTCGGAATCGAACGCGGGCCACCCACAGTAGAACATCTGTTTTAGGTCAAGTAAAATCCTTCAATTCCTGTGGTTCGTACTAGGATAATTACTCATTTAAAGCTTCTTTTACTTGTGTTTTTTATTTTTTTATTTTTTTTATTTATGGTTTATTTAATAGAGACAGATACAATATACATAGACAAAGTGAAAAGAGCAATCCAATGCAAGCATCATAGTGTTTTCTGCATGTCATCCCCCCTCTCTCTTATCCCATCATTTCCTGTCTCTCTAAACAGCCAAAAGAAAATCAATTAAAAGAACAGGTTAAGTTTTCTAACTTAAATGTGTTTCCCTAGCCTGTCTACAGACGCACCCAATTATGAGAAAAGTCCATCCTCTCCGTCTTTTGCCTGACTTGTTTTTCAGAAATTGTGTGCTCAAACTAGCTGTTTGGAGGTTTTCCCTTAGTGACATCACAAAGGGAAGTAACCCCTGTACCAGGTAAGTGACACTCCCACATTCAGATGTTTGTTCTGCCCTCTGAGTCTGCCTTTCCACACACAAACAATCGGACATATGCTTCATTCATGTGATGTCGGACACATTGGAAAAACGAGTTTCCGAGTTGTAAAATGCACATGAACACCTGCTCAAGTCGGAACAACAACTCGGAAACTCGGAAAACAGGTGCCCGACTTGAAGTCAGAATCGTCATCACATCGGGGGCAAAATATGTTTTGTTAATCTTAACAATTTTTTTATTAATTCACGTAATGTACATCAACTTTTTGCTCAAATATAACTTTTAACAGTGACATTTGACTGATCTTCTTCGTATCTTCTTCGCACCAACGCTGTTTTTTGCTGTTGTTACAACATTCCGACTTTCCGAACTGAAATCACGTGAACACACTAAAGTCGGAAGAAAGACGTCCAAACTTGGAAACTTGGACCACCCGAGCAGCACATGAATGCAGTCTCAGAGCAAGAAAGCCCAAGGCACCAAAGCCCTTACAGACAGAGGCGTGGTCAGACACAGCTCATTTGCATTTAAAGCTACAGACACACGATAAAAAATAACTCAAATAGTTGAGTTTATAGACATGATCAAATACAGTGCATTACAGCAGCTCCAGAAAACAGGGGACGGGAATATACTTATAAAAAATAAAAATAGAAGTTATAAACAGATCAAACATATTTACATCATTTAAATAAAAAAATACAATAATTTAAAAAAATACAATAATGTAAATGTAAAATTACACAGTAACTTGTTCTTAAAAAAACACACACAGTGTGTAGCATGAGGTGGTGATGTTGTTACCAGAATGTTAACAGAATGTCCACCTGTTGCTATAGTTCCAAACAGCTCAACAAAGCTGTACAGCATCTCTGAGCTCTTTGTCTCAGTGTTACATACCTACTGTTGTTGTTCAGTCTTGGCACTCTCATTAGTGTTTTTTCTTTTGATTTGCTGCAGGCAACAGTTTGCAGTGGACAGCTTTGATAACCCGTGATGTCTAAAGCAGCAGATGGGCATATTGGTAATTGGATGTTTTAGAGCCAGATATTTCCAAGGAGAAGTTTAAAAAAAAAAAACACACACCAAAAAGGTAAGCGTATAATGCATATATACAGGACCTTGAAGAATTATTTGTTTTTCTTCATATCTGCTAGATGTAAAATTAGCAATTGAATGCTAAAAGGTAAGAAGTTTCAGCTGTTTAAGGATCAATGATTTGTCTGTGTTGTGCTCAGAGCTTGCATAAACTTTCCAGATTGCCAAAAAATATTATATTACAGGTTATAAATTGCCCCCTCCTTGTTTCAAATTTACACCAGATATTGCACAGTTAATGCTCTGATGTTTTGTTCCTCATGAAGAGCTTTAGGGTTTTCTGTCTATACAAATGTAGAGGATTAAGTTCCTGAACTGAGTTGATACTTTGCATGACTCATCTCTGAACTTCTCCACCCCCCACTCAGGCTGCAGTGTTTTTTTTTTCAACTTTGTATCTTTAACACATAATGACGGATGTGATAGTGATAGTGTCTGTTGTCGTGGCTCAAATGATAACTGCATTACCATCTCTCCCCTTTGAGCATTTCACCACTGCATCACAATAGTGTTCAGGTGAGGAGAGTTCTGCTCCTGTGTGTCACAGATATGGAGGAGCTCCGTCAGGAGGATCGTGGCTTGAAGTGCTTCTCTGTCTCTTGTGCACAACCGTCCTCCCACACTGACACGGCTCCCATTTCATCCATCTACTCTGAAAGCATGTGGGCTGCGTTCAACTGCATGTGAACTACAACTCCAAAATATTTGGGAGACATTGTTTACTTGCAAAAAAGTAGAAATCCTCTCAGAGATGTCAGGGAGGCCATCTGCAGAACATCAGCAGCCAGCAGTGAACCAGGACCCCACTGCATGAGACACATTTTCCCATGCTGCCCTTTTTTTTTTTTTAACTAACACAGTTTTGCACTTTTCAGATTCAATATTAAGAGCTTATCAGTGTTCAGAGAATCAAGCACATAGATACTTGCACATGCGGGTTGTGGAGTTTAGTCCCCAAAATATGATGTTCCACCAAATAGGCTACTAAAAGACTGAGAATGATGCTAGAGTAGAATATACCACTGATTTTTTTTTTTTTTTTGCGTCCCTTTTGTTACAACAAAGAATATTGTAGAGCTAGGGAAAACAATGAAGGCTATGCTACAACTTTCTCATTTTTAAATAGACCATCATTTTTTTTATTTGAATTTAAAAACATAAAGACCAACATTCTAACAAGAACCCTCCAAACTCAATGAATAATCTTTGTCATAAAGATTCAGACCCTATGAGGGCAATTAGATCTTAATGGAGCAGTCTAAGCAAAGAACCTGGTAAATCATTGATTTTATAATTGTTGTTGCCACTGACTGAATGCCATTGTTCTGTACTGGCTGGTGTTGATGCTTCTCTCTTTGGTTCTCTCTATCCATGATTTTACCTTTAAAATGAAGTTTTTTCTTGCTACTGTATTCCATTGTTGATAAGTGTTTTGCTAATGTTAAGTTAGTGTTGGGTCTCTGTAAAAACCTTAACCAAGAGAGTATACGGTCTAGACTTGCCCTTTTTTGTAAAGTATGTTGTGAATTGGCTCCATACAAATAAAAGTTGATTGATTGATTTAAACCTCAGTAGTATATTTAGATTTAGCTTTAGCGGAAGTGGAAAAAACAAACAAATCTGTTAGAGGAAGAATGTGCAACATTTTACACCTAAATACAGCAGGAATCCAGTCTCTCCTGTGTAAATGTCTCTCTGAGTCATGACTGTCTACAATGAGCGAGGACTGTGAGTCCCGCCCGCTGTGTTGTTGTTGGAGCCGTGTTTACATGGACGGGACCACCAGTTCCTCCACTTGTGCATAAAAGCTGTTTAAGTGAAGGACTAGAGAGAAGAAGAATAACATACTCACTGCTTAGTTGGATGTAACGCAAGCATTTCTGGTGAGATGCCAAACCTCATTTCGTTACTCTATACTTGTATATGTGTAATGACAATAAAGTTGAATCTCATCTCATCTCATTTTTAGATCACGGTCATTCTGTGCCAATTTACATGAAATTTGAAGCTACGAGCTAACTAAAGTGTGCTACCATTATCCTGCTTACACAACAATGCAGGCCACAGGAAACTGCAGCTCGAGCCAAGTATAATGATGACTGCTGATTGTGCTTAATAGTGCTCAATTATGGTGCTTTTCACTTGATTACTCCTTCGTTCCAATGCAAGTGGATGGGGGTTTGGAGGTGGGTCCCTGGAGGATAGCGCGGGTTCAGTATGGTGGAGGTGTGGCCAAACAGCTGTTTTGGTTTCATGCCAGTGCTCAAGGGTGATATCTACTGGATCAAAAAGTTGCACATTCTTCCTTTAAAGTATTCTAATGCATGTCATTACACTGTCAATGTCACTAAAAAGCACTCTGGAGCTCTTTGAATTGACCTGCTTTGCTTTGCTATAAAGGACAGCTGTGTTTGGCAGAATTATGTTTTTAACATCAAGAGGTGAGATCTGTTTCTACCACTTTGGTTGAGGAGGTTAATATAAGTTACATTTGGAGGTTCCTTTGACTCACATTGATATGCATCTGTTAAATGCTTTCCTTCTATAACAGCTCATATATATTCACAGGCCAGGAGGGCAAACTGTGTTGCCTGCCTCAGATGCAAATTGAAAACAGAAAAAGTAACACAGGACAAAAGATTTACTGCCACAATTAGTAATGTAACCGAGTGAAATTTGCCCTTCCATTGAAACGAGCTTCATGTAGAACAGTGTTGTTCAGCTGAAAGGTTTTGGCATTGAAGCATTACATTTTAACTCTTCTCTTGAATTTCATTTATAAAGAGACAAAATATGACTTTTTTTTTTTTAAATGTGGCTAATTTTTAGACCGAGCGTCTGTCTTACTGTGACAATAATTATGCTTTTTAAACTAATGCTCACTCCCATTACAGAACCCTCAAAGATTCAATGGCCATTATTTTCTCTGTGATGTTTGAACTCCACAGAATCCAATGGTTATGGCCTGTCATAAAATGAGCTGAATGTCACAGAGAGAAGCTTTTATTTACTTTTGTGCAATGGCAATAACAATCATATTGCAAGAAAGCAATTATGTGTGCCATGAGGGGAGTTTAATGGTTTCATTATCTGAACACGAGTTCAGAATAAACGCACAGTCAAAGAGTATTATTCACTGACTCATGTGGCTTGCATCAGTACAATCTGTAATTATTCAAAACATAAACTAAAGTATTGAAGACAAAACCTTGACGTTCAACATACTTTGAAATGTTTCCAAAACGTGTAGTAAGATGGGATCAGGAGCATCACACAGGTAGGAACTGTGAACATTTTCTTGAGTGTAAATAAATAAGTCCAGGATAACTCTCTCAAAGCAAGGATTTATAGGGTTAACCTTATTAAAGGTCACATAGTATACTCCTTTTTAACAAGTTTAAATAAGTCTCAAAGCTCCCCAAAACATGTCTGTGAAGTTTCTTGTCAAAACTCCACTCTGATCCTGTATTTGATCATGCCTAAACTCCAATATTTCAGTCCTGCTCAAAACAGGCTGTTTCTGTGTCTGTAGCTTTAAATATGTAAATGAGCTGTGTCTCACCACGCCCCCTCTCTGGCAGGGCTTGGTTTGCTTCGGCTTTCTTGCACCATGCCCTATTTGTTTACGTTGGGAAGGCAGATTCAGAGAGCAGAACAAACACTAGCTGTGGGAGTGTAACCCACCTGGGGGAGGGGTTACTGCCCTTTGTGATGTCACAAATGGAAAATCTCCAAACATGGAAAATGGAAAATAGCCAAACATTTCCAAAAAATGGAAACAGAGCGGATGGCCATTTCTCATAATTGGAAGGTGTGACAGGCTAGGGAGACACATGAGTGTTAGAAAAACGTGGTCAAGTGTATTTTGCATAATATGTGACCTTTAGCCTAATTTCTGCAGATCTAGAGACCACTTTGGAATCGCATACAATAGCTGGAGGAACCTTGTAATGGGTGAAAATAGTTAAATGTGATATTGATACCTTTCTCGTGTCTTCCTGTGAATAATACAACAGATTTAAGACTAACAGGTTTAAATAGCTACCCTAGCACCTCTAAAGTTCTCATTTCAGTGCAGTATATCTAATTTGTTTATTCTACAGGAAACAAAAGAGTGTCAAATAAATCAGATAATTTAAGGAGGTTCATCTTCTAGACTATTTATTTATGTGAAAGGCAAAGTGACTGCTCAAATATCTTCTGGTTGCCTGGAAACTGCTCAGAGCAACAGACAGCACTCAGCAACTAAACCAAAACAAAAATGTCACCTTGTCATTGTACATTTTGCTCCTGGCAGGCAGATTTTGTTACAGTTTGAACTTCATATTAAACAAATAGATGTAAGAACCGGATCAAGCCCCCTCGTCTATGAAAGGGAAACAGAGTATTTCCAACATGTCAGACTTTTGCTCTCTGATGATGATAATGTTGCCTGCTCATTATTCCTGCTCCTTCCAGAGTTTGAGAATTCAGATTTTTTTTTAAAAAGCATCATTGGCTTTTATATGTATTATATTTCCCAATTGTCTTAACCCAGCCTGTCAAGGCAGTTGGCAGTCCACCAATAGTCTGGCTCTGCATGAGCAGTCATTTTTCTTGATACTCTCGCAAAGTACTTGTTCAGTGCAGTCTAGATCCTATCATGTGAAGTGCCATGAGATAACTTTTGTTGTTCATTTTAGGCTGTTGAAATAGAAACTGGTTGATTGAATGATTGAAAGTTGACTATAACAATTGATCAAATGCAGCAGTCATTCCTTAGGAAGTTTATTAAAGTCAGAAGCAAAGATTTGAAATGCCACTTTCCAGTGTTTGTCAAGATTTAATAACTGCATATTAATGCTGCAAGCCGCACACAAGAACAAGCGAGAGTTGTTGTTGACTGACACTAGCGAGCCTCTTATGTTTCTAACTCTGAGGGAAGACGGAGACGAGAAGAGAGACTTGGTAACTTTTAATGAATGCTACTCAGGCTTTCAGATGCAGCATGCAGCGGAACTGATGTTATTTATAATGTCAGCACTTATATTTGCATCATTATCTACCTGAAGAGAAGCGGATTGTTGCTGCACTTCTCACACAAATCGAAAATTGTTATGCACAAAGTGAGGCTTCATAGGAGACTGAAGGAGAGTCTATGTAGTATATCATATCAAATTAATGAAATGCTCTTTGTGAAAATAGTGGTCATTTTCATAAAATAGGCTAAAGCTCAGCTAACATGTTGGATTATATACTCTGTGAATGAAATTAAGTCATTTTCAAGTGTGTTAAAAAAATCCTTAGTTTAGCTTCAATGTCATGAAATGCCTCAGGTACAGTACATCTTGTGGAGAGAAACTCACAACACCTCCTCTGCGCATCCTCCTTGCACATGCTGGGTAGGTGTTGTGACCTCTGAATGACCTAAGAAATCAAACTCACAAGATATGGGAGGGGTGACATGCTCCAGGTAGCAAAAACTGGATATAACCAGATTTCACAGTTAGAATTTTCACTTTTGATAGATTAGACATATTTTGAGGTCCCGATGTGTGTGGCAACAGCTTCTGAATGACATTGTGGTGGCATATGATTGGTTTTTAATGATAAACGCTAAATAGGCAGTGTTTCTCTCCATTCATGAACTATCATAGGGTTAATTTATGTCATGAATAAAAGAGGGGTGTTGGACCGATAAGATCAGAACTCTTCTGGGAGGTACTCAGGATCTGTTGGATGTTTTTGCGTGCCAAACAACAATACATAATTTCCAGACTCCACCAGATATGATTTGTGTTTTTGACTCCAATATTTTTCTTAAGATTTTTTATCTCCCAGAGAATTGATAAGGAAAAACCAAGCCGTATGTAGTCTAGACTTGTGTAATCTCAAAAGTCTTCTCTCACGGAAAAACTAATTCTCTCACTGTTCTTCATAATGTTATTCTATTATGGGGTTTATTTCTTTAATTATCTAAATGGCTTCAATGTGTGTTAATTTGTGTGGAGACAGAAACATTGATTATGGTTTCTGTCTCTTATAAGTTGTTTTTGACGTGTGTTTTAACTTGTTTGTGTCAAAAAGTGATTTATCGAATTAATACTTATTTATGCAGGAAAAAAAACCTTTTAAATTAACATTATGATGTTTTGACCAAATGCTCACACCCTCTAACATAAGCTCGCAAGCTGACAGAACTGCTCAACAATAACAGAGGCTCAAGTTTCTGACTCATGGGACTTTTGGGTGATAAATGAACACTCGGAGAAACTTGTCAGACAGTTTGTGGATTTGTTCCCCCCTTGCAGCGGCTCACTTATCTAACCATCAAGCTGCCAACACCTTTAACTGTGCCCCGATGTCTCTGCTGGAGCTGCAGTGCTGTGCCGTACCTGATCTCATTGGAAAACTCCTTTTCATGGCGATGTCTGCTGCTCAACTTCCAGAATAACAGCACAATGAAGACCAGCAGGATGAAGATGAGAAGCAGAGAACCCACGACGGTGCCGACTATCACCGCTGCTCTGTTTGGAGCTGTAAAATCAGCATGAATAGCAAGGAATTATTCTCTCAGAAGCTCTGCGGCAGGGAAGAACAATGTGAAAAATGTACTAGACTGTATTATTCTTATTTTCTAGTGCGTGGATTCCAACCCTTTTGGCCTGCCAACTCTTAAAGTTAAATATTGTACTCTCACAGCATTAAAACACACTGTATAGTCATTGTTCAACGAAATCCATGGATTGCCAAAATTTCAATTTCTCATTACACAACCAAAAAATGACTTATTTTAAGAAAATAACGTAACTAGGGACAACGGGCTCATTTTCTTCTCAAATTTTTAAGAAGAAATAGCCTATTAATTTCATTGTAAGCAGCCAATTAGCTTACTCTCAACCTTAATATTTACAGTCTATACTCTCAACTCATTAGAAGCTCAAAATGAACAGGTGGCAGGTTGTTTGTGTCAGACATGATAATCAATTTCACTTCATTCACCCTTATTGCAGTAATGTAGTTTAACTTCTTCATTAAAAGTTGCTTTGCATTGTGTAAATACGCACTAGTACTTATCATTATGGTTACTTGGGCAGTATTAATATCAAAGGAACACATAAACTTTATGTAGATAATTTTTGTAACTGGGTTAATTGTCCGGTGATCTGTTTGGTAATGTCTTCCAGAGATCGTAGTCCTGCAGTCCTACAGTCCTGTGTGTTTGTTGTGTTTTCCCCATTCCTCTCTCATTACTTTTTACCCCCACTTAAGATAATTACCTTACACAGAGGATTGTAAACTTGAGAACACTTGTTAGCAATAGTTTTTCGTGTGTTGCTGTCCTTTTATCTGAATAAATATATGTTTGTGCAGGTTTATTTTTTAAGCTAGCATCAGGAGACTCTCCTCTTCAGCTGTTTTTGGTCAAGTTGTCACTTGTGTACTTGAATTGCAAGATATTAATTAAAAACATTTGTTTATGCTTGTAGACAGTTCATATGGCAGCAGTGATAACTTAGTAGGTATAATAGTATTTTAAAATTTCAGTTAGAAAGATACGAGTATTATTATACACTAAAGTTACAGATGATAAACTGTGGCCCTGAAATTGAATGTTTTATCAAATGTGCTTATGCTATAAAATATGTATGTTACATTAATTTGCATGCTAATGTCACTCAATACAGATAAATAGAGGTAGAAGTTGCAGGTGGGACGGAGGTAATTGTTTGGCTTTGTGAAGCAAACTCTTGAAACAGGTTGCCTATTTCAACCAAACAATGTTGTTTTAGGCATAAGGCTTAATACTTTGAGACATTACATTCACTTTCCTTTAATTATTTAATTAATTTTCTTCATCCTAAAACTGTGAGAATTGTGTGAGCTATAAAAAAATAGTCAGTGGTCAGTATTATGTTTTGGAAGACAAAGAAAAACATGATAGTAATGATGATTTTTATTTTATTTCTATCCATACAAGCTTTAAAGTTAAGTACTGAATACACTACTAGACTGAATGTAGTGTAGTTGACCTGTTTTAAAATGTCTTGTAAATGATTTTACAGGGCCCTATGCTTTGGGAACCTCTGGTCTAGGACAGCATACTACATGAAAATGAATGATTCCCTCCCTAAAGCCAAAGATCTGCACACCAGGAGAAGAAGTTATGGACTCAACAAGATGTAATACGGGGGTATGCTCCACAGATCATAAGGTAAACGAAGACAAACTTATTTTATGGATCCACAGAAAGGGGAGGACCTGTTTGAGTCTTAACCTAGATATGATTTATTACATAATGTTACACTAAATCACTGACCGTACTCCCTTTCAGTGCATTTACCATCCCTATTCATTCCCTGTGAGGCAGCTCTGGTATTCCTCTGCTTTCTCTCTTGTTCAGAGATGGTTTTAAGGAGTCCACTTATTTTCAGTTGCTGCCATTTTTTGTTTCATTAATCTAACTTCATATAGGTAAGAGGGTCTGTTGACGTATTAGGCAGCAGTATCATCTCACCATCACTCAAGAGTGACTTTGTGACTGAGCAGCAGGAAGTGGGTGATGAATAGTACAAGACCAAAGACATTTTGTCTATAATGATTAAAGTGATGTTTTTGACAGCAATTTTGACCTTCTTCTGTCATTGTAAGACAACATAATAAGGATATAACACAGCGATGTTTCTGAACACTGCAGTTAAATCCCTGTGAGGGAGAACTGGGGCAACGGGGAGATTGTGGCAGAGCTACAAAGAGAGAAGACTAAAGAGGATGAAAGTAGGGTCTTCTGTGATTGCATGAGTGCGTCATGTGTGATATATGTGGACTGAAACATTCTGCACGGGGGTGTGTTATCCTCACGTTTGCTCGCTTTCAAGTTGATCCTGCAGTGTTCAGCTCCAACAGCATTGTTCGCCGCACAAAGGTAGATTCCTGCAAAGCTCTGCGAGTGGTTGCTGATTTTCAGTTCCCCTGTTACGCTGTCTGAGAGAACACACACACACGCCCACAAACACAGATTAACTCATGTACTGTACATGTGCTCAACACACAAGGGGATTCCATGAGGATACCACAGAAAGGGATCCTTCTACAAGTGTTACAATGATTTAGTTGAATACAACAAAGTTGTGAAGGTGACGCTAACAGTCTGTTCAAAGACATAATCCTTCAACTGTAACTCTCTTCTTGCTTTTTCAAATTGCTAGTCTTGGCAAAGCATTAAAAAAGGGAATTCTGGCCAGAAGTCCTGTTTAGCTAACCACTATCTACACTAAAAGTACACAGACGTTTGACTCACTCGCTACTGAGTCTTTTAAAAATATAAAACATTTTATTGTTAACTTATAAAAACTGTAGTACGACTTCAAATCCAGAGGAAGACAGTTATGCAACTTCTTGGATGTCAGCGGCCTCTAAAAACCAACAAAGAAGAAGAAGTCTTTATCATTGCCAGATAATACAGATAGGGTTCAGAGATTGTGAGCACACGTGATGCAGGACGTAGAGGATACCGAGGAAGATGACAGGGGTGAAGACTTTGACTGAGCTGCAGTAGTATTGTAAGTTATCTGACAGTAAGCTACTTCTGTCGTTTGCTGTTCATCTCAGGTTCATAAAATAGCTGCAGCGGGCTGGCAGCTTCTAGCTAGTGGGTGTTGTGTATTGCTGTTGGAATCTGTTTCTAGCTTACTCAACTGCATTAATATTGCAAGATAGCATAGTCACCTGACTGTACTTTAAATCTGGGACGAATAACTTTGGCTTCAGTTGGCTGTTAGTTGGCTGTCAGCTGCTTGCTAGCACATTTTGCATATTGCTTTTGCATAGTAAGGTGAGATGAATCTGCTTTAATATTACTGGCTGTCGTTTTTGCTCGTTGCTTCCTTTTTTTATAAGCGATTCCTTTTTTTGGTGACTATGATACGGTTTGTGATGGTTCATAATATTAAACGTTTTTTATGTTCTGAAGCAACGCACAATGAATAACCCGCATTTTATATATTTTAACTCAAGATAATTACATCAAATTAAAAACAATATTGTCAATGATTGTTGTATTAAAAAATCATTAGCACCCGATTAAATCAATCCCTTCCCCCCAAAAGCTCCCCAGATCACATTTTGCTGTCACTACACAAAACCCCCGTCAGTTTAGTTAACAAGTTCAAAACATTTCAAGAATTTTCTTCCTTGGAAAAGAATTAGCATATAATAGGGAAATATTCTAATGATCTTCCAATTGTTCACAATAAGTCCCCCCAAAATGTAAGTAGAATATAAACTGTTTATCTGAATAACTCCAAAAATTACAAATTCCACTATCTTGAAAATAAATAATAAACAAAAAAGAAAGTACTGTAAGACAATGAGTTATTCCAACACATAATTGAATACTGTTATAACAGCAGCGTCTAGACCTCACCCCATTACACATGCTCGTCATCCCTCTCTTTGATGTGCAGTAATGTCATGACGTCAGCAGAGGTCACACTTACTCTGTGAGACAGCAGCGGGGATGGGGCCTCCACTTTCCCTCCTCCACCAGTATTTTAAGGGAGTGGAGCCTTTCGCAGACTTGCAGTGCAGAGACACAGCTTCCCCGACCAGCTCCCGTCCCTCTGCCCAGCATTTAGGCACAGACGGCTTGGCTGAAATCAAACAACAAATGGATAATTTCATGCTGCCATTTCCATTCCAATGCTGTGAAAAAAACTAAAGCTTCATGGCTCTGTGATCAAAAGGGAAGCCACATTTTTAGCTTTAGTTGGATAAATTGAAACCATAAAGATAAATTTGAACATCAAATCAAATTCTATGTGAGCATTGAGGTAATAATGAAGGGGCATGGCGAGTATTGCTGTTAGGAAATAGGACAAGGTCATTACGATGTGTCTTGATGAAAATGGGATTGATTGTGTTACATGATTGTGGAGTATTTGTTAAACCTGAGCATTTCACTCGAGGGATACTTTTTATCCTTTCTCTTGAACATTCATGTTGATTCTAATGTTTTTCTAATGTTTTTCCTTCTCAGGACTATGTCTGTGTCTGTATGAACACTGCTCAAGGCTTTCTGTTGATAAGCAAAGCACTGCAGTTTCACACTTCTCTGGTTTCCATCTATGGTTGAGGTGATTTTATCTGATGGAGGTTTGATACCAATTTTGATGTGAGAAAAAAGACCGGAGACATTCTTGATCTGTGACATAATGAAGTGAGTTGAAGTTGCTCGCTCTTTGAACTGTGTTGAAAGGAATTTGCATCCATTGAACATAAACATGTTTCTCTTTTGAAATGACGCTGAGACTGCAGACTCTATGCCTCTAACAGTTGAGTATTTGACTCTAACTGTAAGTGATGTTGACATAACCTTGGCTGAGTTTTATGTAGATCCAGAGGTTTGCGGATGATATTTTTGGCTTAGCAGGTATTTTGGAAGTAAAGGAGTAGATCACGTACAGTATATATTCTACATTGTGATGCATAATAAATAATTAACAAGATATGTGTCTACATCATTTATCCAATCCAAAATCAAAGTTAGCAACATTTCAAGTTTCAGCAGTGGAGTTAAACCTCATAAAGGCGGACAACCATGAGACCTAAACACACTTTCATGATATCTGAACTGTGTAAACTGACACTGTGACTTGATACTGGGGTAAGGCTCTGTGTCCATGTACGTCCGTCCTGTCTCTATGACAACAGTCTGTTGGCAACAGCCGCTGTATGACACAGCTCCGTAACTTTTTATTGTATGTTTTTTACTTCAGGTTGTTTTTTTTTTTACTCCGGCAGACACGGAACAAAGAGGATTTGATACAAGACACGATCTGTAGGCGGAAAAATTAAGTCAAAACTAAGTCAAGGCATCAGCGCGTTTCTGAAATGTTGTAAAGATTTTCAACTTGAGTGCTCGGAGCGGCCGCACAAAAAAGGTGGAGCACGTGGAAAAAAAGCCTCTGGGTGCTGCGCTTCTTCTCCGGGTGGCTGCTTTCTGCTGCGAACGCTCTCCACTCATTGAAAACAAATGAAAAAGGAACCCTCAGAACAAAACGCTAGGTGGACACAGGGCCTAATGGAACATCACTGTCACATCAAGACAATCAGGAGACTTTATTTGGTGTTTAAAAAAACATCAACAATTGATTATAGAAAATTGCAGCCCAATAACAGGCCCATACATATGCACTAATACAATTTAATGGAAGATGATCAATTAAGGTGAAAACTTCCTTTTTTACTATGTAGGTTCATTAACTTTCAGAATATGGTTGTGGAAAAATAAAGAGACATCAGCTGTAATTTGTTACTCTACTTGCTTAAAATTGTCTGAGCAAAAGATAAATCTAAAATAGCAAGCCGATGATGGGTTGTTGCTATCTATTTTGATAGCCTGATTGCACCACACAATGGTGTATAGTAAAGCTCTACTAAAAATAATTGTGTACCCTCAACCGGAAACTTTGGTTTCCCCCCAAAAAATGGAAGAGTCACAACAAATCAAATCATCAATTATTCTCTAAAACTACATCCTGGCTGGCTTTTTACCCACATCACTTTGATTTGGAAGCTGCTTTTAAACGGGGACAATAATTTGCTTAGTCATGATAAGATGTCACAGCACAAAGTTATTTATTAAGTCATAAAATCATAATAAATAAATCTGCCAATGAGGTGACCTCCTCAAGCACAGTGTGTGCTCATGCTCTTCAGATAAGATGAGCTGGACACGAATCAAGTAAATTACTTTAACCTTCTGGCTAACTTTAAGACTTACACACTGACAAATGGCTTAAAGTGAGGTGTCATTGCAAATTACCAGAGCCTCTTTTCAGTGTCTCATCCACTGCTCAATCTAAATAGTGCAACATAGCTTTTTTTTTTCCGTAAAGCTGTCTTCCTAATATGTATTCTTTTAATCCCTGTGGTCAAAATTAAGAGCACAGCTGTCTCTAGGAACCTGACTCAGTTTCTTACATTAGCAAATGTAGCAATCTCTTTTTGGTTATGAATTAATATCATACAGTGGAAGCTTCAAAGCTAGTTAATGGACTTATTGTTCAGATCGTAAAATACCAATTCTGACACAGAAAAATTGGAAACTAGGGAAAAAAATGTCTATTTTTGCCCTTTTTTATCCAGATTGGCTAAAGCACCAAGAGAATTGTACAATTTGACACAAACATAGGGAGCACATCCTCATGGAACAAAGACTTCTAACGTTACAGAAAGTACCTGACCTGTAAAAGCCTTAACTAATTGCACACACAGAAAAGTCCCCTCTCCTTATCCTCACTCACAGCCTTGTGAGTTGTGACCATTATCTACACTTGTTTTTAGGTGTTTTTAATCTTTGTTTTAAAGTCAGGATTGACTGTGAGGACTAAACAAAAGGAATGAAAGGAACTTCTACTGCAGCTCCTGGTGTGACTGCAGCTCTGCAGGAGGATGAATCTCAATGTCAAGTTTATAGACTGTGCACAAAAAGCAAGCAGGCATTTATCACTAATTCAATATACTTTGCTTGTAATGCTATCTCTTCCAGGAGATTATGCTTAAATGAGAAACATCCACCTTTTGGGAGATGCTGTTTAACAATCAATGAAGTTATGAGGTTGCCACTGCAGGCTGTTCCTAGAATTCAGAAGTTGTTGATACATTTGAGGAGTGCTGAAAACTCAAGCAGTTGAGCATAGACCATACTGAGCATGAAATAGTACACAGGAACAGCTAGGGGCATAGGGAACAACAACAATCTCACAGACTGATTTAACTCATTCACAAGAGGGGAACATCAACACCCACTGTGTTGCCTAGCAACGTAGCGTTTTGTTGTTAGTGTGCCCTATGCGGTGCTGAGAGTACACAGTACAGGCTGTCTTGCCTTTTCATATGTTCCTGTGGGCTGCATCTGCTGTGGAGTTTGTATTGCCTGTCCAACTCCTGTGCTGTTTTATGAGGCTCTGGCATGACAACCCAAACCCTGACCCAAATATGTTGCGTTTTTATTTGATTTAATTTTTGAAGCCTGATAATCCATGTTGCACCCACCTTGGCCTTCATAACTTTGCATTCTAGTTCTTTTGTGAGTGTTTTTTTTTTTTTTTTTGGGGGGGGGGGGGGGGGGGCGCTCCTGTTTTTGTCTTATTATAGGGCATACCTGGTTGGTCATTCACACAGGCTGCTGATCGATAGGCAAGGGACATATTTTTTAATTTGATTGAAGGGCTCTAAGACGCAGTGCACATCGTAATGTTGTTCCATTGGTCTGTTTTATTAACTTGTTCAAGCACTTTTTCACAGCCAATCATAAAGGTGCTCTTCAGTTCCACTTTTTAAAAATAAAACAGTGTGACATTAAACTGGGCTACTTTTAGGTAACTTTTTTAGGTCAGTATCTGATGACTTTAATGCACAAGGCATGCACAAGACTGCTTTGTTTTATTTCTACTGAAATAAAACAAAGCAGTCTCAAAGGATATACCTGCCTGTACGCTAAATTTAGTGAACTACTGCAATTGCATCCACATGAATGAATGTGACCTTTTTCTCAGAAAATAAACATCCCAAAATGTTACATTTTAATTTGTGCAGCAACGTACTCCTTCAAATGAAACCACTCCTGTTGTTGTCAAGGGTGATGGACATAAATAATGCAGTCAAGTAACATTTATGTTTGAATACTGGAATCCGATGCCGGGTCTTACCCATGACTACTAGTGACACCTTGCGCATGTCCACTCCAGGTGACTTCCTCACTTTACACTGGTAGGTGGCACTGTGAGCAGAAGACAGTACAGATATTGAGAGCGAAGCGTCACCCATTGACGGGTCAGGAGCCGCAAAGTGAAGGCCTTTTGCAAGAGCTTTGTCACTATGAAGGTATTTAGTGCCGCTGGTGTAGGAAATGAGCTGATGGAACACATAATAAAACAGATTAAACAGAATCAACATATGGGTCTCAAAATAAACTGTATTGGTTCTAACTAATTATCACATTAGCATAAATGTTATAGAGTGATAATACAGTATGGCAAGTCTGTTTGTTTCAGCCTGTTCTGTGAGCCTCTTACATCGTTTTTGTAAAAAAAGTCAATTTGCAGTGGAAATACATTTAGTGTCAGATTTAGAAGAAGTGCTGTTCACAACCAGACTATTAAAATGTTTGACTGCTTTGCAAAAACCATATGTTTGTAAAAGACCCAAAACTACTGAGCAGGAGGAACACATTCTGACCTGATCAGTCCCTGTGATTTACTGAGATCAAATGACGCTGCCTAAGGCCAAAGAGGAGACGGAAAAACATAATTTTAAGACTCAAACATTTCTGACTCATCCTATATCAAAGACGAGTCGGATAAAAAAAACATTTATATACAATTTAAAAGACAGAAGGTTTTCAGTCACCCTGTTTTCTAAATTTGGATTTAGACAGGCACACCACATAAAATCTGAATTAATTTGATGTTTTATTTTTTCACCTGGCCTGATTCATGTTTTATTGTGATTTCTGACCTTTGTTCTGACAAATGCATTCTTAAGTCTAATTAGGTCAGAGCCTCTTTTCATCTGAAGGGGCCATAGAATTAGTTTTTGTTTCTTAGGAAGAACTTTGTAATTAATTACATAGTTTAGGGAATGGTGGAGAGAGCATTGAACTGTATAGCAGGTCAACTTAAAATATTAAAATACAGGAAAAGTACAGCAAGTAAAGTCTCCAATCTCAAGGAATAATGACTGAACAGAAAATAGCATTATTTCAAGAACCCTATATAGCTTTTACAGGTATAACTCAAACTTGGAAATAGTTTGGAAGAAGAGACAGACACATACATATTCACACATTTACTTAGACTTACATTCATTTCCTGAAGATTTCCACTCATCTTAACCTCGTCGTTACCCAATTCACTGACCCAAATGTCTGCTTTTCCCCATTTGGGACCAAAATTTGATAATCCGTCCCCAATTAACTGGTCTTAACTCTGAAATGTGTCCCCAAATGTAGGCGAAATCAGACCCACACAAGCTCACACAAGGGCATCTTAGCATAAATTAGTCGCTCTGCTATATAATCCGTTTATATAAGACCCTACATATACATTAATAGTATAAATGAACCATCTTCATTACATATTACATACTCTTACCATCTGATCTTTCTGCATAGTGTCTGGACTGACCACAGACCATTCGATGTCCAGTTCTCCGGTGTCGAAAGGGCTCAGTGTGTATCTGCAGCCCAAAGTCACACTCTCTCCCTCAGCCTTCTGGAGGGTCTGCGGGCTGGTCGACGTCACCTGTATCCCTAATGTCATCTTCAATTCTAAAGAAAGTCAGGCAAGTCTTGAATTTAATCACAGACACAAATTAACTGTTCCATAATCCCCAATTGTAAGCCTCAAGGATGAATATAATGTATTCTCATTCAGAGAAGCCTTTTTGACACTGAGCTGCAATTTATGGTATTCATGCTCACATTTTAATGGGTACGTTTCATTTTTATTTGGATTCATTTCTCAAAGGAAGTCTAGCTAAGAGAGACATAAAAATGGCAGTCAAAATGATGCACAGCGGCTTAAAGACCTTCAGATATAACTTTTAACGACAACATTTGTAGCGTAATTATTACAGAGTTTAGATCAAAAATATAAATACATGATTCAAGGTCAGATGAAGCCCCTTGGTCCTTCTTGGAAAAAAATTAAACATATGAAGCTTTTGTGTCTTGAAGTATATCTCTACTACCATAATGGTGTTTTCAAACATGCGCAAAACTCCTGAACACTTTCCAGCTGTGCTACAAGTAATGTGGCACGATTTTAATCAAAATGGTAATCATGATGATATTTAACAATTTTGAGCTCCTGATTATTCATCACGTAATTAATTGTTTTTGGGTACTTTTAAAAAGACTGTTTATTGTTTATATAAAAAAAAACATATCCTGCTACTATCCTATTGCCAGGGCTGGACTGGGACAACCAAGTGAGGCAAAATAAAGTTGTATTTAAACAAACATAAATATAAACTGTAACATAAAATATGATGAATAACCTAACATGGTTTAAATAGGGTTATGTATTTCTTTTCGTATGGTCAATAGAGGACCACATAGAAATGTCAAGTTACTGTGCACGTATTTTAAAACATAAATAATCAATTTCAATTGTGTTACTTTGATTGTTGGAAGGTCGAAATCGTGATCACGATTAAAATTCAATTAATAGCGTAGGCCGCTCTGCAAGTGTAAACTTGGCTGATTGTTTACACACCCACTCTCCCTTGGCTAGCTCGTGCCAGGCTCCTGGTAACATTTCCATGTGAAGTGGAGGTGAGCCCATGTGTGAAAACGCAGGAGCAAATATTCAGGAAAATTCACTGCGGGCGATCATCAAGGTGATGATGTTTATGTCCCGTGACTGGTTCAGAACCGGTGCAATCTCCTTCATACTCTTTCTGCTACCCTTTATGGTGAACAGCTACAGTTGATCCTGTTCTTGTTGTTCACAGGAAGAATGTGCCTTGTAGGTCATATACTGAGAATTAGTGGCTCAGACAGAGGGTAAAGTGTTTTGTTAATTTTTAAAGGAATATTTTCAGTCTCCAGCACAGTTTTATTTGCCTTAAATATAACACCACTTGTGTTTATATTTGTTCTACTCAGAAACAATGTTTTTAAACTAACTATGATTTGGTAAGGGTCCACAATTTTTTTTCAGTGTTAGTTATTTAGTCTGAAGATGTTTGTGGATTTGGTAGACGTGTGGTTTAAATAAAGCACAACACTTTTTCATTGATTTCATTGGTTTCTCTGGTGTTTTAAAAGGCTGTGAGGCAGGTTCCAGTCACTTCAAACATATCTAAGGTGTCAGTTGTGTTTCCATGTTAAACTGCTGTAAAAACTAAAAAACTAAAGGGTTGCTGATATTGAGTGAGTAACTTCCGGCTTACTATCCTGGCCAACTGGCGACATGGGACATTCTTAATTTTTTCATATTTCTTCATTTCCCTCTCTAGGTGACCTGGATAAAACCGTTAGGCTCCTCTGGCACCAAGGGGAAGAAGATTTTCCCCTTGGTGCGTCATCAGTCCGCCAGCTAATTCAATTGAAATGAAACATCATGACTACATCTCTCATCTCTCTTGGAGATCTACTCCGCTATTATGAGTATTACATTTTTTTATTCTTAAGTGGTTTGAGAGAAGAATGTTCCCATGCTTCCTTTTAGCCCACAACAACACTTATTTTTCATTTGACTTTTATGGTTGCATCTCGCCAACATGCAGAATTGTTCTTCTGCTTTTAACACTTTTTTTAACAACCTTCCTGAAAATGTGTTAACCAATGAAATTGTAAGTGAGGGATGTAAATATTTTTATTTGATAAATTTCACTATATTTAAGGTTAATAGTCAGTGGACTTCTATTTTTCAGAATTTACTATTTATTTTTGTATACCGTAAAATATGAAGTATAAGTTGCACCATATATAAGAGACAAAAAAGGTTTCAACGGTCTTCCTGCGTGACTATTTCTATTGTGTTATACAGAGAAGTCTACAATGGTCAGTTTCTGTGCAGCTATGTAGCTCTTTTAGTGCCATCTGTTTTCTCTTCGGGTACTTCTACCAGTTACAGTAGTGGAGTAGTAGGTAGTTGAGCTCAGTTATATTGTTTTGATTGAGAGGAGGCACCCTGGTGGTGGAATTTACATACTGTGTGTTTAAGACAAGTTTAAGCACAGTGAAACAGAATTATTTAATTTTTACTGTTCACATATCATATACAAAGAAAACTGCACTTCCATTTATAAAAAAAACTACTCTTTTAAAGGGAAATATATATTTGAGAACTGCAGCTCAGTCTATCAGACGTTCCACCCTGAGTAAAGAAATAAACAAGACAAAACATATGAGCTCAAATCCCTGGAAACATTAGGGAGTAAGCACTCATCTGGAGGCCTAATCTCTAAATCTGATTGGACAGACAGTGAGCGCCATGGTAACACATGGGGAAGCTTACTCCACTGAGGCCTTCGGCTAAGCAGTGTTCAACAGAGATGAGACTTGTAGGTCTGTTATCGCTTCCACTAGGATGCTTCGTTCAATAACATGTTAGAAAGCTAAAGTTGGTTAAATGGTTTCTATAGGCTCACATAGAACCCATAGTTGTGTATCTTTACTGTAAGTCTGTTTTCTTACCTGTGCTCAAGAAACCTGCAGTGCAGAACAAGTAAACAGACAGCCAGGACGGACAGCTGAGGAAGGACAGTGGCATCAAACAATTGCAGCTTTGTCTGATCATGATGGTGGTCCTATTAAAAACAGAAAAAAGAGCATGTGGTCATATTAAATCACATTATAATATCTAGTAAGAACCGTGCACCAATATACAAGTTCAGGAAATTTAAAAAAATACAAAAACAAACGTAGTATTATTTGATCCTACCTGAATGCAGATTCTACATCCAAATGTCAAAAGGATCAAGTAGGACTGTGTTGCCTGCGGATCTTACCTTACAGGGAGCTCCTCCTTCACTCCCACCTAATTACCATGAAGACGTCTGACTGGATGGGAGCTCACCTTTTTTACATGTTTACCAGGAGGTTGCCTTGGTATTGCTATTCAGCTGTGCAAAATGCTTTACTTTCCCATTTATTTGGAGTTACAACCACTCCAGTTGAGAGACAAAAAATTGTGTTTTACAATTTTAGTCAAATGAAATTCAACCAATGAGAATTGCTTGGAGAAATAGGAAAGAAGGCAGCTGTAGATGCATATAAAGCAACCCCTTTGTGAGGATTAATGACCATGTAAATATAGGTAGTGAAGCAATGTGTAAGCCTTTAGTGAAAAAATAGATGATGTGATACATTATTAAGATTCATGGAGAAGCATTTTAATTTGTAGTGATGATGTTAAATTTCAGTTTTGAGTCATGTCTACCTAAGGAGTGGAAACGTTGTGTTACAAATTTCCTTTTTCTTCTCTTTTTTTTGTTTGTAACACCACTAGTTTCAAATAATATAAAGGACAAGGAGAACACACAAGATCAGGTTGTTCTGTCAGAAGCACCTGACAGCAGGGTTTCTATATAATACCAGGTTGTATGAAAAGCTAATCTTCATGCTGTTTTTTTTTTCCAGAAGAAGAGCTTTTCAAAATGAGAAACTGTTGTGGCCTTCAGTGGACACATTTAATTTATAGTTAAAGGATAATAAAACTTGCTCGGCTGTAAAACTGAATTGCCCTTTTGGGATAAATAAAGTCCTCTGAATCGGAATCAACATTTTTTTTTAATCAGCATGCAAGTTTTCTAGTGTTGTTTGCCTATTTGTTTTGACATGCTTTGGGCAACGTGTGTTGAAAGATATTTCTGATTTATAGCGACCAGATGCTGCAACGACAGAACCAGAGCTAGCCAAAATACACGCCAAACTCCATTCTGACCCCTACAAGTACACCTATTTCATTTTTTAGGGACTCAGAGACTAACTGGTTTAAGATAACTTTTAGTAAAAGCAATATTTATTCTTAAGATAAAACCATGAAACTTGAAATCCTGACTTTTCCTTAGATTCAATACTGAAGAACCAATATTTGAAAAAAGTGTTTGCGACTTCCTCTTGTACTGTATGAAATCTGACAGGCCCTGAACAACAGCTAGACTGATACTTGAGCCTGCTACTTGCTTGTAAACACAAAGGAACATTTAGCTTAAGAGCCTGGTACCTATATCCCTGGGAAACACAGGACAAAGAAAAACAAAACTAAATGGAGAGAGAGAGAGAGAGAGTACTAACATTGATTAGGTGGACACAAACACTACTTCAAATGAATGTTAATGCTGTTCCTTGTCTGCTGGGTGTGTAAATAAGCATTTGCTTGCTCTTGGTATTTTACCATCTTGGAATTAAATGCAGAATCTCAAGTCAAGATTCAGAAGCCAGTTAATAAATCCTGTGGGAACTCGCTCCTAGCACTACTACATTAGCAGTAAAACACACACAGAATTTTTGAGAGAATTTCAAATTTTCAAATTGTTTTAAATAAAAAAAACACAAACAACACAGTTGTTCAACTTGAGATTTTGGCCTTACAGTGAGTCGTTTTAGACCAATAACATCATGCCAAGTTTGACTTCCATGGGATAGATAACAAGAACAATAAAATGAAACCAAGCAAATACAGCAGGACGTTTCTCTGCTTGGATAAATACTGAGCCTTTAGAAGCATTAAACATCAAGATCGTGATTCAATTAAGGATTGTGTGACTTTTGTACCTGTTTACCCACTGCCAATGAGTCAGAAGGATTAATTCACAAAACACAAGCAGAGGGTTAAAGCACCCCTAAAAGATTAACTCACGGCGTCCCTCAGCGCCAATGCTGTTTGCATGTATTTAAATGAACCATTATGCAAAAACAATATGCACAAAAAACCTTTTTATATAAAATCAGCCGGCCTCATTGCAAAACGAGTCAAATTCAGAACACCGGCTCTTACAGCCAAGCACAGTTAGAAAAATGAATCACAGTTTGTTGAGTCGAGGCAGTAACTGCGCCACAACATCTAAACACCGTTTCTCAAAGGGTTCATCAGTTCTTTGAACACTGATCTAATGGTCCTTGGCGGATGATGGTGGACCTTAAGGTGTTTTTTTCAGAACCGAAAATGTGATATCACTCTGTTGGCCTTGGCTATAGATGTATAGATTTACGCTTAATTAATTGGCTCCTTTGAAAGGGGAATCCTCCCCAACTTGTTATTCATTTACTTTCTGTTACCGAATGAATATTAAGACAGAAAGTCTGCAATTTTCAGGGATTGTTCCCCCCCAGCACTGACTGCAATTTTTGGATTCATTTGCAGAAATACTCCAGAGTGTCATTGACAAAGATATGTAGTTCAGTCTATGAGTTCATCAACTTGCACAAGCAAAACCATGCCAGTAGTTTGATTGTCCTCCACATTACCTCCAGCACGCTCCTTGATGTTCCAGATTTATTGAAAGATTCTGTTTCATTTAATATTTCATTTTCATTACAAGCTCAGACCACCTTCATTGTGTTTTTTGCATCACACTCATTTGTGCCATGCTGGTAAAGAGCTTGATACATTTTTGTTACTGATTTAACAATAATTACTCAATTCTGAATCTATTATATACATTTCGATGAGGATGGATCTTCTATGAGTGTGTCCCAGTTTGAGGTTTTTCAATTAAACATCTTTTCATTTAAATCTCAAAATACAAGGCTTGCTTTTAGTCATCATAACGGTTAGATAACACTTCTTTTAGGACAGTATTTGAGCTCAAATTCAAAATGCATCCAGTATGATCAAGTCAGGCTTTTAGTTCTGATCAGTAAGAACTATATTAGGGTAACATTAAAAGTAATTGACAGATGTGAAAGCATATGTATTTTCTCATTAATACACTTAAATAAATGTAGCTCCAATCCTGGCATTACAAACCTATTTCTGGTTTCAAGTCAGACTTAATAACTGTGTTTTTATTAAAAACAATTAGTTAAAACATTATACTCAAACACAGTGTAAAGAGACTTTAAAAAAGACTTTCCATCTGTCCATGTTTCTACTGTTAAGGAATCAAAAGCCCTCTGCTGGCTTGTATTGCTGGAATTCTCACAGCTGATTATATGCCAAGTAGGCCACAGCTCAGTTGTTCTCAGTTCCAAAGTGCACTGTTATGAAAGCTGCCCAGGCGTGGTAGGATGACCTAATTGATACAGAGAAGAAAAGAGAACACAAGTTGGATTTCTCTTTCTTACTTCTTTCTTTTTCCAGAGCACTCCACATTGGCACACACACACACACACACACACACACACACACACACAAAGACAGTCACTTGAGCTTAACCATGACTGCAGAAATTTGGGACGTTGTTATTGTTGGAGCCGGACTATCTGGACTAAGTGCAGCTCATCTGCTCCGGAAAAGGAACCCAGAGATGACTATACTGGTATTGGAAGGAAAAGGTTTGTACAAGTGTATTGGGACTGAAAGCAGTAGGGCGGTGAGTCATTTTAGAGTGGGGTTTTTCTGTGTGTGAAACTGTTGAAGAGTTATTGCTCTGACTAAATCATGTCTAATGTGCCATACAGATCGTGTGGGAGGTCGAACACTGTCCATGGAAATACCGGCAGCCAATGGTGTTGATTGCTGGGACTTCGGGGGGCAGTGGGTAGGAAGGTAATGTTGATTAAAAACTACAGTAATAACCCAGACAGGGTTGTGTCCAGAGTGGTGGCCAGGGGTTGCATAAGTCCCCCTTGAAATCTTATAGGCAACCCCAGGTGCCACACCAAAATCCTTAACTTTAATTGGCTGTTTACCTTGCCAGAGGTGGGACTTATGTTGAAATCCACCACTCAGGCTGCGTTGCAACAGGCAGCTCATAGTTGTCAGTGTGCAGAAATTTGTTTGCCATTTTTTTAAATACTTTAAATTGTGATTTAAGACAAACATATTGTTTTTTATCCTTGAAGAATGCAGCTTAAAATATCTATATATTGCCATTATCTTGTGTTACTTAAAAGTCGATGTGATGAGTGCAGACAGAAAGGATACATGTTCAATGTTCAATGTTCTTCATTCATGTGTGTGCACACAAACTTGAGGGCACCCCTGTACAAGTCAGTGTTCCAGTTTGGATACGCCCCCTGAAGGGCGTTGATGTCAGGCACTCTGCTCTGTTTGAGCAAGTATGTTATTGAGAAATAAATTAAATGCTGAAATGCTGAAATTTCTGTCAGCATTCATTCTGCGTCAGAGCACAGAAGTATCACTGCAAGGCTACAACCTACATTCAAATGTTGCCAATAGAGAAGAGGTGCGTTGTTCAGGAGCATTTTGATAACAGCTTCATTAATGCAATAGAGAGCATCTCTAAGGTGCTTCATCTCAACATGATACCACTTGTGAAAGAGTGTAAACAATGAGCACTGAATTGGTGTCCTTTCTCTTTCAGCACCCAAACACACGTCTTGGACCTCATAAAGGAGCTGGGCTTAGAGACCTACCTGCAGTACAATACTGGCAAGAAGGTGCACCACATGGGTGGACCAAATGCCAGAGTTCGGATCTACAGCACCAGTATCCCTCTTCTATCCCCCTTGGTGATACTCGACTTCGCCCAGTTATTGTGGAAGGTAACAAATATGAATCATCATTTTGTATTCAGGACTATGTTCATTCAGAGTGGTCCTCTAAATGCTTCTAAATACCAGACATGGATCAGCTGACTAACC